CAAGGGGTCCATGAGAGCGAAAACTTCGGCGTTCTCTGCCTGATGAAATCAAAGTCTCCTTTGCTCCATAAAGAAATAATGAGTTCAGTGATGCAAGTTATATCGCTTGATACAAGTTTGGTTCCAAATGCACAACATAACCGTGTCCTGCCTTGGCATGACCACAGCCCTCGCTCAGTTGCAAGAACATCCATAGATTCTTGCCCCAGACTCATTCAGCAGCAAGCATCAGAGCACAGCACAGACTATTTTGAGACTGCATCTCATAACAAGTGTTCGAGCCCCCACCCACCACTCAGACACAAAGCTGGAACTATGTGTAAGGATGATCTCTCACCATCCCCACTAATACTGAGTTCATCCTATTCCATCACAAGCACAACAAGGGTACAACTTGTATGTTCCATGATTTCCTGGAATAGCTGGTTGCTGGCATGGCCACCTATTCATTCAGGAACTGCAGGGCCCATGGGAATCATCAGCTATGGGACAGAGCAGTTTTAAGTTTAAGTGACCCCTCTGAGGAAGAGTGCGCATGCTAGGTGCACTTCTGTATGCTAGACAAGGAAGGTGGAAGAACGCAAGAATGGGTGACTGCTTCTCCAGTGTTCCATCTGAGCAAGCAGAAAGATACAGGACAGCAAGGACAAACAGCTCCCAGGATGGATGCTCTTTCCATACATGTCTGCTCCAGCGCAATTAGAGCAGCAAGGGATGAAAGGGGTTGATGTCATCTAATCAGATGGAGTGCTTAAGGAAACCCAGACAGGTTAAGGGTTATGGCCACACCAGTCTGGCAGAGCCTCACCACTCCCGCAGAAGGCCTTACTCATTGTTGCACACAGTTGCTGTCTCCCAAGTGAGACAAGGATGCCAAGTGCTCATGAAGGTCTTTGAAAGGGTCAAGATGGAGGTTGTTTTGGCTACATTTCCATGTACTGTGCTCCTGACAATGACCTGAGGCAAAGCACAAATTGGCAGACTCTTGGAAAGGTGGCATTACTCAAGCCGATGACTAGCTGGCAGTAGAGGAGCTATTCCAGAAGCAAGGAAGACACCCTGGGTTGGATGTCTAAGCCATTGTTCTGCCAGTTTTAGGCAAGATGGGGATCAGATCCGAGTAATTCTGGCCTGATGTACTGTGAAACTCCAGATTTCCTGGACATGGACTCTAACAGGTGAAGCAGAAAGGGAGACACTCACAAGCAAAAGGCATTCTACTTTTTCCAGGTGGAAATTCCAGACAGTGACAAAAAAAAACAAAACAAACTCTGCAACCTCCAAATAAGCATCCTACACACATTTTGTCAGGCCTCTGCATTTCCCCAGGCACCGCGAGGGCTAAGAGGGGACAAGGAAGAGCATAGCCTCTCCCCACAGAAAGGGGTACACCACACAGTTTCTTCAGTTTGAACTTCAGCCCCAGAACACAAAATAATGCTAACTCTCCATAGGTATTTGTTGTTCCCTGGAGATCTTCCCTTACCCAGCATCATTTCATCCCCAGCTTGTACACAGCCTGAGGAGTTCTCTAAGTCAAGCAAGATTAGTTCAAATACCATAGCACAGGCCACATTTTCTTCCTCTGCTTATACAGATGCCATTTATCCAGCATCTCCACAAAGGAGGCACTGTGTACAAAGACAATCAGCCAGGCCTTTAGCACAGAAGCAGCCTATGCTTTTATCTGAGGACATCTCAGAGCAGGACACCACCCCCAGAACAACAGAAGCCTAGTGCCCTTCTAGAGGTTGCTACCAACTAGCCCTTAAGCACTGGGAATGGTCAGGCCCTCCACAGCAGGTTTTGCTTGAGGTCACACTAGTAAACACACCAGTCATTTCTAGCTCTTGAGCCACTTCAGCTAAACTACTGTGGTTCCACTGTAGTTTCTCTCCTCCAGGTAGTGAGGAATCTTGTTTAATTACACCCTAAACCCTCTTACCACAACTCCTCCTGTGCTCCAAGAGCAAGACAACAGAACAAAGCCAAGCCAGGCACATCTCAGTTACCAGCACCCTTCTGTCTGCAAAAGGATGGGCTATTTTTATCAGTCTGTTGCCCAAACAGAGGCTAAATATCACCACTTGGCATAATTTCTTTTGTTAAAATTGAAACCAGAAAAGCACCGAAGGCTTTCAGTCCATCTAGCTCCACTCTTCTCCAAACCTCTGGAGCCACAGGCTTCTCTACCTGCCACCACTGGGAGACCACCCAACCACACCATACAGTACTGGACACCCACTCTGCTTGTGACAGCCAAGGGTCAGATCCTCTCTGTAATTAAGCATGCATACCCATCTTAAGTCATTTTATCCTTCCCCACTCTAGATTCTGAGCTCTTATTTCCTCAGACAAGATTTACCTTGGCTCTAGGTTTTCAAGGAGAAAGAAATGGGGTATATTTAGCCAGAGACTACTGAAAAACAGATACCACGGAAAGAAGGCTGAGAACCTATCTGAATTTACTTTGCCATTCTTTAAAGAAGCCTTTTAACAGGCATGCAAAGAGGTAAATCTGTTGTCAAGTCCAATGACTTTGAGGAAAACCAAAATCCAGCCACTCTGTGGTACCAGAACATGGGATCCCTCCCTCAGCTTCTTTCAAGGGACAAACAAACACCTGCTGGTTGGTAGGTCAGGCTGCCTTTAACAGCCAAGATGGATTATGCACACTATGCACCATTTGTTATTTTGCTGCCACTTGATCAGCAGCATATCTAGCACCAAAGCTTTTGCAACAGGCAGTTTACCCCAGCTTCCAGGTGTCTGTGTCACAGGGGAAAGAACAAAAGCAGCTCAACAACCCAACCGCTTCAAGTCGCACATTATCATGTGAATGTTGATGTCCCCAGGAAAATGAAATCATAACTCCCATCAGTGACACACTGGAGCGATGGAGTGATTTCAGTGAGTGCTAGCGATTCCTTTGTGAGGCTGGCAAACAGCTGAGAGCTGCAGTGCAAAGAATCTGAACAACAACAACAAAGCTGGAAGGAAAGTACAGCCTATTTATGAAACAAGCCACCAAACTGGAAGACAGGCAAGCAAAGGGCTGCTCACGAGAAACTGGAGCAGAAACAAAATATTCAGAGGAGGAAGGGGAGGGGAGAGCCAAGGCTTTAAAAAGATAAAGACAAGTGAAAGGACTAGAGAACAGAGAATAAAAGAAATTAAAATCAGAAAAGCAAGTGATGGGAAATCCAGAAACGGAGGAATACAGCTCAGCAACAATAACAAGCAGATCTGCACCGTCCCAGTAGCAATAACTGCACTAGGAAGGGGCCCACCTCTCCAGCCCCAGGCTGTTGTCCGGGGAGGCAGAGGGATCTGAGGGTTTTTGTCTGACAACAAGCTGCAGAGCAACAAGCTCAGTTCACAGCAGAGCGGAGAGATGGAGAGAAGGAGGGAGCGCAGCAACAATAGCAGAAGAGGCTCTAGCTGGTGACGTAATGGTTGGCATCTCTCCAGGCCAGAGCAGCCCCTGCTGCTGCCACTTTCTGGTCCTCTTTAGAGAAAGGGAATCAATTAAAAGAAGATGCAAAACAATCCCTCAAGAGACCCCCATGGCGCTGCCACCCCTGTAAGGGTGCAAAGGGGAAAGCCCTACCCGGGAGCAGGGCACATCTCTGCATCCCCCAAACCCAGAGTGAGAGCACATACCTGCCCCCTCCATGCCACCCCACAGGGCCTGCATTCAAAGCACAACCCTGCACCCCACACCACCCTGACGCCAGGATTCAGGGCACACTTTTCGCTCACCCCCCCCATCCCACCCCACCCCCAAGCCTGAATTCAGGACATAATCTCTGTGCCTCCCCCCAGGCCTGGATCCAGGGCACAGCCCCGCATCTCCCCATCCTGCCCCAAAGCTTACATTGAGGACAGACCTCTCCCACTGAGCCTGTCAGGGCACACCCCCATCGCCCCATCCCCCAACCCACCCCTCGGCTTCAGGGCACACTTCTGTGCACCTCCAAGTTTAGAAGGGTGGCTGAAGAGGGGGATTTAGCCCCAGCGTCCTGCAGGGTGGGGGTTCGGTGTGTCTCTACCCCCCACCACGGGAAAAACTTACCTCAGCGAAATAGAGGTTGAGGAGGCAGAGGCTGGAGAAGAGCAGGCAGCCGGGCAGGCAGTAAAGAAGCCAGTGGGCGAAAGGCTGCTGGAGGCGGAGGGCCTGCAGGGAGTTCTGCAGGTAGAATGAGAAGAGGGTGGTCCTGAGGGCTGCCCAGAGCAGGCAGAGGAAGAGGCAGAGCGTGTGGTAGCTCAGCCGCCGCTCCCGGTAGTAGAGGAGCAGCCAGAGCTGCAGGTAGGCGAAGAGGAAGAGGGCGGCGTAGAGCGCCGTGTGGAGCACGGTCAGCCCCAGCTCCACGGCGTAGGGCACGGCAGCCCCCTCAGCCAGGGCCGCCCCCCCGGCGAGGGCCGCCGCCGCCGTCGCGCTCATGGGGCAGCGGGAGGCAGCGGAGAGGCAACGGCCCGCCAACGGTCGCCGCGCGCGCCCGCCCCGCCCCTCAGCCCCGGCTGGACACCCCCATGCAACAAAGGGGAGCGCCCCCCCCCCCGCCCCCCTCACTACCCCAACTCCTCCTCCTCTCTCGCCCGCCCTCCCGGCTGCGCCGCGCGCCCGCCCGCCGCCAAACAACTCTCAGCCGGGGACAATCAGCTGAGCCCGATTATTTGAGGCGCTCGCTCCTGACAGCGCTCGCTCCCCATTGGCTGCCCGCCGGCCCGCCCCCGCCGCGCCCATCCGCAGCGCTGAGTGGTCGCCGCAGCCCGTCCGTCATTCGCGGCCTCCCCCGCGCCTCGCCTCTTCTTTCTTTGGGTTGCTGCCGCCGCCCGCCTCCCCCTTGCCCGCTCGCCCGCCCCCTCCGCCCCGCCTACCCCGGAGCGGTGGGCGGACGGAGGGAGCCACCGCCTCACGGTGGTCCTGCCCTCCCGGCGGCGGGGGATGTGTTGCTGCAGCACCGGGGGGAAAGCTCCGGGGTGCCCGGAGGAAGCGGAGAGGTTTTCCAAAGGGGGTCCCTCGAGCTGTTGGGGGAGTCAGGACATCCCCGCCGCGGTGAGTGCAGGCTGGGCCTCTGGGGGTGCGGGGGATGTGCGAGCGTAGCTCAGAGACCGCCTTTTCCTGCCCGCAGCCATCCCTGTGGCTGTAGGAGGTCGGAGGTCATAGCAGCAAGGCGGGCAGGTTGGAGACCCTCGCTATAAGACACCTAGGGCCAGGTCTCGGACATCCCACAGCGGACTGACACACACACATAGGCTTTATTTTTGGCATCCCAGATTCTCCAGCCGAACAACCAGGCCAACACCCAGAGGGCGCTGAGACCTCGGTGCGGGATGCTCTGCTAGCAGCCGTGGTGGAAGGACGACGACGTCAGCCCAAGTGCTCAGGCCACCCAGGTAGGTGACATCCCTAAGCCATCTTGGAGGGAGATCTGCAGTGTCCACCCAGTGCCAGCTGCTTTCCAGGGATGTTGTGGGGGTAGTCCCTCATCCCCAGGGACATGCTAAACTAGGGCAGTGGCAGTGCGTGATGCTGTGGGCTGTCTGCTGCACATGGGCATCAACGCACTTGTCTCCTGGTCCTGGCAGAGAAGGGCTGCAGCATGTCCCTCCTGCAGCCTTGGCTAGGAGGTGAGGCACAGCAGGGCTTCCAGATGCTCGGAAGTGGTACCTGGAAGTGAAAATGAAAGTGAAACTCCCCAGGAAGTGGCAGGAGATGGGGCAGTGTGAGCGCATCACTGCCAAAAACCCCAGACAGCAAGGTCTGGGCAAGAGGCTGGGACGTGCTTTGATGTCAGTGTGTTTCCCACCTCCACTGGTCATTAAGAAGCATCCCTGCGCTGCAAGATGCTGCTCCCACAGCTCACCGCAGCCATCCTTGCAGCCACCCTTGTCCCCTGGCTGCAGGCCTGTATGTTGGATTTGCACTGAAAAATCTGGCACGTCTGGTGCAGAGGGTCAGAGGCTGGGGTGAGGCCATGGCGCAGAGAAGAGCTCCGTTATCATCTGACATGCTGTGCCAGATGTGCCTCCAGTGTCAGAGCTGCCCCGGAGCAGATTTGCACTGCAGGCTGATTACACAGCAATCTGCAATGTACTTAAAATGCTGCTGGTTGGAAAGTGCGCCTGTCTGTGCACAAAAGGCTTAGCAGTGCTCCTGCTTGAAACAGTGTTTCTGGTTATATGCAGGATAGATGCCTTTGCCACACTGTTTTTTGGCTGGAGGCAGTGCATGCGCCTGCTGTGGGTCCTGGCATCGCAGCCTGGTTGGGAGGCATCTCGGGGTGTCCCGTGTGGATGGAAACACCTTCCTGCAGCTGCAGAGTCATGGCCACCACAGGACATGATGCAGGGATATGGCTGTAGGGGCCTCGCAGTTGCAGGTTGCGACCCCTGGCTTCTCCACAGGCTGCTGGGTAGAAGGGGTGGATGGGAAGGGCCAGCAGGTATTTCATATTTCAATCTCATGGTTGCAGGCCCATCCTGAAGCAGCAGGGAACCATCTTGGTGCTGTTCCAGCTCCAAACACTGGGTAACTGCAACTTTTTTTGACCTTATTCAAGTCAGCTGGGTCAAAGAACTTGCCTTGGGAAAATTGGAAAGGAGCTGGATTGAGTTCTGTTCCAGCAAAACTGGGTAGTGATAATGAGCTCGGCTTGTCTGCTGATTAAGAAAAGGCTGGTTCTGGCCACTTTTCCAAAGATGAGCAGGGAAGGGGAGCGTGTAGTGAAAAATACACAAGCTAATGCAATATGTGGTAAGGAAATGAGGCTATTCCTGCGCAGCCGTAGTATTCGCCAAAACTAACACATACGCTCACACAGGAAAAAAACAAATGACCAGACTTAAATATTGCTTGACTTATGCATTATTTCAGCAGTCGTCAGCAGAATATGTCAACAGTTGTCAGGCATGGGACGTGGGGCTGGTCTTCTACAGGTGACAGTTTCATGTAGTGGGTTTACACTGGAGAGCCACTGTCATCCACATATGCTTCAGTGGGATCCCAAGGATGCTTTGTGTGTCCCTGAAGAGCCAATTTATCATCTACTTCAGGAGAAGAGATCTGCAGATAATACAGCTGTTGGGACAGTTTCCATCTTCAGACAAGCTGGCTGCAAGCAAGTTGGGTGTGTTTGGGAAAGATTTGCTGGTCAGACAGTGACAAGCAGTTGGTGAGATTCATGTGGATCTGAGAGTGGAGGGCTGGAACAGAGGTCTTTTCAGGGAGTTTATCTGGATCCCCTAAAGGAAACCTGTGTGCGGGGTCCAAAGTGCAAGAAGTTCTGTCAGTGTTATGTTTTTTCTTGTATTTTTCGGCAGCAACAGGATGTATATTTGTTCTGGGGCATGCAGCCATGCTGAGGAGAGTGCATCAGCCAGTGCAGCCTGCTGTAGCTAAGGGCTTGCATCAGCCGCAAGTCGATTTGGGGTCTGTATGTTTCCCCTCTGCCAGCAAGTCTGGGAGGGCAGCACACTGGTTAACTGCTGCTGGAAGGGCATGAAAAACATACGAGCACATTGCCAGAAAACTGTCCTGCTGCAACAAAAGGCCTGATCTGTGTCAGTCATCACAGAAGAGGTAGAAGTGACTCCATTTAGGAACATCCTAAATGCTCCTGCTTTAGGAGCATCTACCTAGGGAGTTAAAACTTGACAACTCGGGGCTCTGCAGGCTGGAAGATACTGATATAATGAGATAAAATGAAGGGGAAGCAGCTGGGTAACGTACTTGCTGATAAAGTGCCAGGTTTTTTGCAAGAAGGTAATTGATCACTGGGAGCAAAATACCCTGCTGAGGGGTGTGGGGGATTTTACATCACTGGCAAATGCCAAGCCTAGGTTGGTTTCCAGGTGTTTTTCCTGAGTTCAGGGAGGCCCATGGATGATGGAGATGGTACCCGGCTGGCTGTGCAGCCTGTGATTTCAGTAGGACAGTGGTTCTTACTTGTCTTGAGAGCCTTAAAACCTACCCCACATCACCCTCCATTGAATGAAATGTGGCTGCAGCTTCCTTGGTGATAAATATTGGCATCTGGGGGCTTTTGAGGCAAAGTGTCAGGGGAAGCAGCTGGGATCACAGTGGTGATGGAAGGATTGAGCCCTTCGTTACTGCTACAGGATTTCCAAGCAGAACTGATGTGGCATAAGCAATTTATGCCAACACAAGATTTCATGCTGGGTGTCTCTGGTGTATTTGGTTTCATTTTCGTTCATCTGCACTGGCTTCAACCACCTTGCCTGGCTCTGTCTTGGAGGTATGACAGTGAAAACATGAACCAAGTCTTACAATCTGTGCTGTGCTGGGTTGCCCCATGATCCATGGATTTAAGGGTTTCCCAGCAGTGACAGAGGGCTGGTTCACAATTCCTTGGTATTTTAACACATCTCTGGTAATCCTGCAAGTGGCTGCAGTAGAGGGTTCTGGCTGTTGCCAGCCCTATGGTGTTAATTTTCTCGTTATGGAAATGAGGTGACAGAGGAAGTGACCTAAAAGCTGAGTATTTGAGCGTGGATTGTTGGGGCACAGTGGGAAGCTGCTGGCAGGATTGAGTAATGAGAGATGAGAGAACATGAGCAGGGAAGGGATGAGCACACATTTTTGTGTGAAAGGTGAGCAAAGCATGGGGAGAAGCAGGGCTGAGGGTGGTGGAACAGAGTGAGGAGTCGTGGTGGGCAGACAGGGCTGACTTTGGGAGAGGTGCAAGGAGAGGAGTAGCAATGTCACAGCATGTGGATACAGCAGAAAGTGGGGCTTCTGCTTCTCCAGCCTCTTCCCAGCCAGATCAGGTAAAATTCTAGGTGTAATTCCATGAAGTCTTTGAGGCATTGGAGGCTGCTCCTCTTGCTTCCTTGACAGTAAGATTTCCCATTTGACTTGGGCTGGTTCCCACATACCAGCATTGAATTTATTTTTCCATCCATGCTGTAACCAAGTTTAATAAATTATTAGTCATTTATTAGTCATTTAATAAACAGCACCCCCACACTCCAATCTCTGTCCCCACTGTAAGCCAGAGGAAAAGATGGGAGGGCAAAGGACCAGAAATGCCTGATACTTCCCAAAGCTGGAAAGGAGAGAATGAAGATGAGATGAAAAGAAAAAAATAAACCGTGGCTTTCTCAGCTCTGTCTTTGCTCCTTTGTGCTGTTCAGGCCTGATCCAAACACCTCACCTATATGAGGTGGCGCCTGTGAAGGCTGAGCATGCCTGGTTGTCATTAACACTTCGTTCTTGCAGCAAAGGAAGAGGGATTTTGCCTGCTTGTTTTTGAGCATTTGAGTTTGGGCTCATCACAGAGCAGCGATAGTAAGCTGACAGCATCTGACAGGGTGTTGGAGGGAATGACAGTCCATGGACACAGGGATATTTGTTAATGAAAAGAGCTGCAGCTCATGATGCAAAGCAAACCACTTCTACATGGCTTCAATTCTGCCTTTGTGCCTTTGCTGACGAGGGACTAGCCATGCCGCAGCACACCCAGCAGCAAAGACTGATAGCTGAAGAGCAGGCTGCAAAGGAGCAAGGGAAATGAAGTGGAAAGAAGATGCACTACTCATCCTGTAGTGGTTGTCCACATGAAGCTCTCCTGAGTTCCTTAATCTGAGCAAGAAGAGTGAAACAGTTGTGGCAGGGAGGGCTGCTGGTGAGCCCCAGCAGCAGACTTACACGCTTGGTCTTTCCTTGGTTCACAAATTTCCATGGCTTCTTTCTTAGCCAGCTCCAGGTGGAAAACCAGCATGGAAGGGACTGCCCTGCAGCCCTGTGTGGGTTGTGAGGTTCGCCCCCATGCCACTGATGTCAGAATAACACAAGGCTGGGCAGAGCAAGGTGTGACAAGCTGTCATGTTAAGGAGATCCTTACTCCAGTAAGGAGGAAAATTTCACCTCTTCATCTGTGAGTTTGACAGGTTTGTTACTGTCCCAGAAAAGATGAGACCCTGGAGATGGGTTAACCTGTCAGAGCCCTCTGCAGGTGCTCCACTGGCCAGTACACTATATTGGAGGGTGATTCAACATTCCTAGTGGGGATGTACGGTAACAGATTCGCACACTGAGTTAAAACTTTTAAGTCCATTTTAAAGACAGTTTTTAAGTTTCTGGAAATGCACATAAATAGATGAGAATTTTTGTTATAATTTTATGAGGGCTTAAGGTTTGAAGATTGCATTGACAATATAACATACTAACTATGAGAATAAGCATGAAAATAACCTATATAGAGCCAGTTAAAAAGCAGTCATTAAATGCACAAGTATAGCTGTTGCCCAGTAGGTGACCCTGTGGGGGGAGAAGACAGGTTCAGCCCACTGACCGACCCCACCAGTTACAGTGGAGTCTTCCCTAATTTTTCCCCTCTTAATTTTGTATATTTGTATGATTTAATTCAAATTAGTAACTTCCTGTAATCCTTCCACCATTTACCAATTGGTGAGCTAGTTTGCATAAGGCTCAGTAACTAATTGCCTCACTGTACATGCTCAAGGAAGTGTCAGGGGTCTTTTGACCTGTGGGTGTGATTTTTAGTATTATAATGAGAGTATAATGAGGATAGTTCATCAAAAGGATGCCCTAGTCATGTTTTGCTGACTCCTGAAACCACATTTTGACAATTGTCCAGGATGTAGCAGACTTCAAGGACAGTCTTTCCTGATTAGAGGTTTGTTAGTCTTGTTTTTCTCAGTCCTGTTTTCCTCAGTTCTGTTTTTCTTAGTCCACCTACACGAGGCCAAAGCTTCTCTGGCTATCAGTTCTCATCATAAACCATTCTTATTTCTCAGGTCTCCTGACCCTTTAAGAGACCCTTATATCTGTCCAGGCTTTTTCATAGTAATACAAGTTTCAATTTCTCAACTGTATACCTACGGAGCTTTAACTAAATATGGCTATGGCGTTTTAACCTTATATCACTATGGAGTTTGAGTGTGTGCCTGTGGAGCTGGAGTGGCTCTAGTTACACATACTTTGTTAATGATTGGTATGAAGTTCTCTTGCTTTACAATAGAAGTATAGCTTCCTTGCTGGTCAGCTGCAAGGTGATTTATCAGTACATGGTGTCTTCAATTCCCACACCTGCAAGGGAGTATAGCAGAGCCTGGCCACAGGGCCTTCCCTCCTCTCCACTCTCCATTAAGTTTGTCTCAGCATATGCCAAGGTCGCAGGGTTGCCTGGGCAACTATCACTGGGTAGATTCTGTGCATATCGACTGCATTCCATGCTGGAAATAGCAGCTGCATTTTACCCTAAAATTGCCTTAATATTGTAACATAACTTTGAGGATCTGTGGGTGGAGGGATGGTCTTTAATTTCTCACATTATTTCACACAAGCCCAAGGAGTTTGCACAAATCCCTCTCCCATTTGATGTAGCTGAAACCTCAAGCGGCAGAGAGCTGGGGCAGGCACTGGGGGAGGGCTCTTCCATCTCCCCACATCATTTGGCATCATCTGAAGTAAGCAGTGTGGCCTGTCCTTTTGTGAACACCTCTTTCAGTGGCATTTAGAATGCTAGTGGCATCCTCAAAGCTTTTTAGCAAGAATTGAGACTGTTTGGGTGGGTTTTCTGTCATATGATGCTGTCACTGTTTTCTGCCTGTACATGTGATTTCTGTTTGATTCAAAAGAAGAAAAAAGAAGGAAGAAAACCGGCCCTAAACTGAAATCGCTGAGGGTCCGTGCACTTACAGATACCGTTCAGAGGAAAGAGAATGGCCTTTGCTGTCATCTGTAGCTGTTTGGATCACCTGCTGTTCTACTCACTAATTCATGATGTCCTTGAGATGATTGTGTCACATCTAGAAATCCCAGACACGCTGCACATATGTATGTTTGTGTCCATATGTATAATAGATATGGTTTTGTGTGTGTATATACATAATATTTGTTTGTTTATTTCTTTTTCTCAGTTGTCACTCTCCTGTGCCTGTAGCTGATAACAGCCATGTCAGCCCAAAAGGACAGATGGGTTTCCTCCTTCTCTTTCCTGCTCTTTTGTGCTTCCTCCATCCCAACGCATGGAAGTGCGATGGTGCTGCAGGAGCTGAGCCCCCAGCGATATTTCAGTGCCTTGCAAGCCGGCAGAGCATCCCTAGCTTATTTCAGCCATAATGGTATGTATTTAACAGTATGCATTTATATCAGCCTGGGTTTTCAGCAAAGGCCTGTGTGAGGGTGTGTGAGTGGAACAGAAAAGAGGCAATTCTTGAGATTTTTAAACCTGAAGTGATTTTGAAGAGCTCGTCAAGCTCAGCTGGCAAACCTGTGTTTGCACGGCTCCAAGTGCTCCTGACAGGCAGAGACCTCTTGGGGTGGGATCTTTCCTGGCTATGTCCACAGGCACACTCCTTCAAACCCCTTCATGACTTTTCTGGAGGTATGTTGGAAGAGAAACCCAGCCTCCTAAGGAGTTGTCCCCTGAAAGGAGCCAGTTTTCTCTTCTATGGGAAAGAAGGATTCCTTACATGCAGGGAAACTAAGTGCTGTCAAGAATTAGAAGATCCTTGGCCTTGCCTTTTGTTTCCTGCTCCTTTATGACCTCTGGGTATGGTTTCCCAGAGACACCACTGTGGGCTGAAACACTGACACAGCTCCTATGTCAGCACTGAGAGGCTGGGTGTGTTATAAAGCAGGGGAGACTGCAGGCATTCATGTTGTTGTCTGTACTTAGTTTTGTTTCAATAAATACCTTACTCTTGGAGTAAGAGCGGGACCATATTGTGTTAAGCAGTGTCTCAGTGCATGGCAGGAGGATGCTCTTGAGTCTGAGGACTTGAAGCCCAGCACAACACTCGTCTGACAGAACCATTCCCAGTCCCTCTGTCTCTCCCAGCCATATCCCTGCAGACATCTCTGCTGGCAGTGTGCCACAGCTCCCTGTTTGCTGTGCTCAGGTCTGCTCTGATGTCCCAGGGATTTTTGCATGGGCACCTTAGCATGCAGTTACTGTGACAGAGCACAGACAGTGCTTGCCCTGAAGGTACTCTCATCTGCCCCACCTGTAAGGGGAGATTGAAAATGGAGTTTTTTTGTGTTTCAGCTTCACCTGGTGCCCAGCCCTTCTTGCAGCAGATTGAGAACTCAGCTGAGGCTCTCCAGGACTATGGCATTTCAGTGGTGAAGGTAAATGGAGATGAGGGGCAGGACAGGCTATTTCCGCAGATTATTTCTGCAGGGCTTCCTGTGGGGTAGACAGAGCAACCTTCAGGGCTGACTCCACAAGAAAGCAGACCAGAGCATCCCATTTCATCCCTTGCCTTGGCCTTACCTCAGCTGCTTGTGAGTTGTATGGCACCTTCTGCCTGCAGGCTGTTCCTGTGTCCCAGAGAGGCTTGATGTTGTGCCTGTGTCTCTAAACCCCTCAAAGCATGGCAGTGCTGTAGGTCAGGCAGTGGCACTCCTGAGCTGCTCCCAGCCTCCCAGTTCAGTCTCAGTAGATGAACCTGTGCACTTTGAATTGCGTTCCTGGCTTTAGGGGCCATTTTTCCTGCAGATTGGTGTTTTTCATGGCCACCCCACATAACAGGCTTAGCTGGCTGGACTAATCTGGCCTCTCAGCAGCTGCATGGGGCATATGGAATTGCCTGGTCATTGCTGTGTACCCATGGTCATGGCACAAGGAAGAGTGTGATCCCCAGTGTGCTGCACAGGAAGGCATCAGCCTGCTTGTCTCACTCTGGTGGGGCTTGCCCAGTTCCTTCCAAAGCTCCCTCCTGCCAGCTCAAACTGCAGAGAATGATGGAATGCCCATGGCATTGGGGTTGGAACTAGATGATCTTAAGGTCTTTTCCAACCCTAATTATTCTATGATTCTATGGATTGGGGGCAGTTCACTTTTCAATTCAGTGCAATATGTATTTCATATAAAGGGGTTTCTGTCTGAAGCTTTGTGCAGATTTAGGCGAGGGAATTACAAATTCAGGCAAGTGTAATTAGATTATAAGAAGTGCATATATATATGTCAGCAGTCTGTCACTTCGAGTATGTTGGGCAGATCATAATATCTCCTGATACTGTGTGACCCAAATCAAGGCAGCCTGAGCTGGAGAACTGAAATGCAAACTCCAGTACCTGTCTCTGGACTCCATTTTATTGTATTTTCTCTCCTAGTAGGTTTGGAAAGGCTGTATTTACACTCATGAGTGGAAAAACCCTGTAGTGCTGTGTGTTTGTAGTCATTTGTGGAGCTGAATGTCTAATTACATGCTTTCAATGTCTAGGTTAATTGTCCCAAAGAGGATGTCTCAAGATACTGTGGAAAAGAAAATGCATTAAGGAAAGCCTACCTGTTCAGGTGAGGGGACTTTCTGGGCACCACCCTGTGACTGCTTTCCAGTGCAAGTGTTTGAAGGAAATGCTGTTGGTTATCAGAGATGTCTGTGGAGGAGGAGAGGAGCCATGAAGACAGCAGTGACACCAATTTTCTGGCAGCCTCCAACCACCAGGTCCTCCAGAGTTACACTCAAACCACTAGGTTTTGCATCTAGTCCTAGAATGAAACATTCCTTGTTGCTCTTTCTGTCTGTATAGTTAGCTCGTCTGCCCTTGGTGTGAAGGGTTAGCTCTTGGTCTCCATGGGTTGTCAGCTGGACATATATCAGCTCAGTTCTCACTGTTGTACATGACCCACAGAGACTTTTCCTCTGCTGGTGAGTGTCTATGGGGTGGTGCTTGGTATATAGAGACCTTCTGTCAGTCTGTGCTTCTCATCAAGAGGCCCCAGAAGCTGAGTGAAACAGCAATGACAGAGGTGACAGCTAAACCAGCCTAATGCTACTAAATCTTCAAATTCAACCCTGACGTTTCTTTCCAGCCACCCCTGCCAGCAAACAACTGAAAGCATTCAGCAGAGTGAAAATCGTATTAGTACATGTAGCTGATCTTTCATAGTTGCTTTGGTGATACTCCTTTTTTCCCCTCCATAGAGGTAACATGCTAATCAGAGAGTTCCCCACGGATGCCTTGTTTGACGTGGACTCCATTGTTGCTAACGTTTTGTTGTAAGTACAGACCAGATGCATCCCTATGAAATCTTTTACTTTCCATTTTCACTTGTTGATATGAAGTTTTGCATAAATACAAGCCCCATGTATTCCAGAGGCGGCTCTCAGCCAAGCAGAAAGCTGCTTGTCCCTTTGGTATGGTTGGACCTTGTTAAAACTTTGCCCTTGAGATGACTCACCAGCACACATCTGGGCAACTATATTTGGCTGTGAATCTTCAATCTGCCAGCAAGAAGCTGGAATTTTACCTTGTTTTCCCCATCACAGTTATGTGGCTGCAAATTTGTTCTTAAAATAGTTGCTAATGAGTTTTTTCTGATTCCTCAGTGCCCTGCTCTTTAATGAAGTTAAATACGTTGAAACACTGGCAGATCTTCAGAACATTGAAAATGCCTTGAAAGGGAAGGCGAACATGGTCTTTGCCTATGTACCAGCTACTGGGACAGCAGGTATTAACACTGATTTTTTTGCCTTTGCTCTCCTTACAGAGCATTTTTTACTAAGGTGTAAGGGAGCTGGGTTTCTGAACCAAAATCCTGAAAATGGAGCATCAAGGAAACCTGAAACGGCCACCCAGACACAAGTTCTCCAGCTCTGTATGTCTTGCTGTGTTTCCAAAGGGATCAGTTGCACTAGGAAAGTTTTGCTGGGAGCATAAACTTTCAGATATGGGCTTGAGACGAAATGGAAGCCAGGGGTTGCTGTCTTGAAAAATAAATAAACCCATAGGCAGATTCACGTACACCATCTGTGTTCGCTGGGGATCAGCAACTGGGTCCAGCTCCAGTTACTCAGTTACCTGTATACTGTGTCTTCAGACAGCTATGGCTTTTTATGGAGTTTCTGAAAGCCTGGGCATTGGTACTTACAAGTAGGAAGGGTGAAGATGGAGATCTGGAGGCAGCTGAGATGAGATCATCTTGCCTTTCTCTTTCCAGAGCACAGAGCTGTGATGGAGGCGGCTTTTGTCTATGGGACTGTCCACCAGTTTGTTTTGACAACTGAGGCAACACTGTTGAAAGACAGTAGGTATGTCCAGACAAACCCTTCAGGTAGAGCTGCTCTACTCTTGGTTTCTCAGATTCCCAGGTCAAATCTGGTTACTGGGATGTTATTCTGGGGGTGTGCAGTCAGATCTGTTTTGCTTTTCTAAAACCAGCTGCTGCTTGTGTTCCTGGATTTGGATTAGCCATGCCATTTGTGACTGTTCATTGAATGGGATTATATAGAAGAGCCAACTCTCTTCTTTCCGTAGTCAAACCTCATGTTTTCCAGGAGGGCTGATACATGTAGCCTTCTGTTTTGATGATCAAGTCTGGCCAGCTGAGAAAGGTAAAAATTGATGCAGTGGGTTGGAGCAAACTCCCCCCTGGTTCCATACTTTGCCTCTGCTGTGGCCATGGGTGTTTTGCGAGGGGTATAAGGAAATCACAGAATCAATAAATGGATTGTGTTGGAAGGGTCCTTAAAGCTCATCCAGTTCCAACCCCACTGCCTGCCACAGGCAGGGACACCTTCCACTAGACCAGGTTGCTCAAAGCCCCGTCCAACCTGGCCTTGAACACTACCAGGGATTATAGTAGCCTCAGCTTCTCTGGGCAACCTGTGCCAGAGCTTCACTACCTCAAAGCAGAGTTTCTTACTAATATCTAATCTAAATTGTGGATGAAATGGATGAGTGTTGCCTACAGCTTCCCATGTTCTGGCAGCCTGAGGTTTCCAGACTCTCAGAGATGGGAGCTGAACCTGTATTACAGTGTTAACAGCCACCAGAGCTTTTTAAACACATTTTTACTTTTTATCTCAGCAACTTTTGGCAGCAGATAGTTCTGCAGCTGCATGAGACACTGCTCATGTATTCAGGAATTCCCGCCCTATGTCTTCACTGGATCTAGCCAGCTCAGGCCATCCTCTTCCCATGTGGGACTTGCATTAAAAGGGCAGATCCTTCAACGCAGTGTGCTTCTGATGTGACATACTACAGTCAGAAAACTGAGAAGGAGGAAGGTGGAAGTATCAGATAGCATGTGATCTCTTCAGCAAAGCATTTATATAGCAATTTGACTGCTCTCATAGGTGACACCAAGGCAGGCACCGAAGCGGTCCTAGCCTGCGCTGCCATCCTGTCCTTCCAGTACCATCAGGGACAGCATTTTGTGGCTGCCACTAGATGGCACGCTTGTCATTTGGACAGGAATTGACTTAATTCTTGAAGCAAAGAGGACACCAGCAGGCCATCTCAGCTGATGACATGGTGCTAGCTTCACCAGTGTGAATAACTTTCAGACAACTGGGGCAGCAGGCTTTGAGATCTTAATACTGCAGTCTACTCTTCCATAGAAAGACAAAGAATCCCTTTATGAAGAAGCTGATCCTAGTTTTAGAGGTGGGGGGAATGTATGCCATAGGAAAAGGAACGTGACTTCCTAAAGTTAACCCACAGAGCAACACCAGAATATTCCCTATGTGTCATTAGTGAGGAAAAGGACATGAGAAAAATATGTAGACTTCAGCTCTTCTGTTCCTGCCAGGGTCTCCATTGCAGTGGCATGAGGAAAAACTTGATTTGTGTCCATCTCAAGCTGGGCCAACTGTTCTGGGGTTGGGATCATTTACACCTGGTGAGCCAGGGTCTTCAGTAGGTGTTCATCACAGTTATGAAAGGCATCTGGACACAGTTGTGCCTGTCAGTAGTAGGGCTCTTGAAGAGGTCCCACAAACCTGACAAACCCTGAACCTGAGGATCATCTGCCCTGTAAAACATGCCAGCAAACATGGTCACTCTGTCAAAGCATTTTAAAACCCTGGGTGGATGCCTAGCTCAGCATGGATTTTGCTTTCTCTCTCACAGCACTGATGAGCCTGATGTGTCATCGGCCTCGCTGGTGTTCTGCCACTGCCAGCGGGCAACAGACCTGGTGCAGCCCTGCAGGAGGACAGCCATGGAGCAAGCTCTGACAATGCTCAATATTCACAGGCACCTCAAGCTCATGGGAGCTCCTCTGGTGGTATGGCTGGGAAAGAGGAGCCACTTGGGCTGTGAGCATGAGGGAAGCTGGGATGGACGTGAGGATGAGCGAGGTGTGAGCAGAGGGCAAGGCTGAGCATGAGAATCTGCCCGTTTCCCATGAAGTTAATTGCAAAGCTCTCAGGCTGAGTCGAAGCAAGGCGCATGGGGCTGGATAGGGCCAGCACTCCATTGCACTGCTCAGCTTGCTTGGATCTTTCCAGAGAGCCCTGGCACCAATGTATGCTCCTCTAGTTGTCTGTAAGCACCGTGAGTGGGAATGGGGTAGGAGGTGCCTTTTACTCTGCTGGAATGGAACAGAACAGAATAAAATACAGTAGACCATTTTAGTTGGAAGGGACCTAAAATGATGATCTAGTACGACTGCCTCACCACTTCAGGGCTGGCCAAAGCATGTTATTTAGAGCATTGTGCAGATGCCTCTTGAACACTGACAGGCTTGGTGCATCGACCACCTCTCTAGGAAGCTTGTTCCAGTTTTTGACCACCCTCTTGATAAAGAAATGCTTTTTAATGTCCACTCTAAACCACCCCAGGTGCAGCTTTGAACTATTCCCACATGTTCTATCTCTGGATACAAGAAAGAAGAGATCAGCACCTCCCTCTTCACAGCCCCTTCTCAGGAAGCTGTAGAGAGCAATGAGGTCACCCCTCAGCCTCCTTCTCTCCAAACTAGACAAACCTCAAGTCCTTAGCCACTCCTCTAGGCTCCCCACAGGATGCTCAGCACCCTGGGGAGTTCTGTATCAGTCATTCATGCCTTACTCAGCACAAGAGAAAGGAGGCTCCCTCCTATCTCCTGTTTCCATTGGGCAGTGAACTTCAGCAGGCCTCCAGTTCCCACTGTGACATCTTTGCCCATCCAAAAGGAAGGGTAGGTGAGCTGGGAAGTGCCTTTTTCAGGCAGCCTCCTGGCTAGGCCCAAGGAGAGAAGGCACTTCATGAAGCAGCATGTCCAAGGCAGGAAGGGAGAGGTTGCCAACTCTTGCATGTTGTGGCTGGGGTTTTCAGACTGCCCCGGGGAATGGATGCCAGGTAAATAAAAAATAATGGAGATTTGACATGTGGAATTGCAAAGTCACAAAGAACATGCATAATAAACCCCAGGTTTTTAACAGGGAGGGTCACAGCAAGTTGTAACAGTTTAACCGGGGTTGTGTGGGTTCTGCTGTGATGGATATTCTAGAGTCAGGGTTGAAGGCGTTTTCTCAAGAGTCTCATTTCTGTGGTTGTGGAGCATATGGTGGCTTGGGCTGTGCAGAAGAAGAACTAAGGTGCCTTCATTGGTGAGGAGATGTGCTGCAGTGTAACCATGTCTCTTCTCCAGACAGAGGTTGCTGAGGACCCAGAGAAGGTTTCTACCGTTCACTTACAGCTTGGGCTACCACTTGTGTTCATTCTCAGCCAGAAAGAGACCTACGAGGCTGACAGGAGGACAGCAGAGTTTGTGGCCTGGCAGCTCCTGGGGAAAGCAGGAGTTGCCCTTTTGTCCAGGTATTTACTCTCAGGTGTTTTGGGGATCTCCTTGCTTATTGTGGTGTTTCAGAGCTCGGTTACTCCACCACCAGGGTGATAGTCAGTTATTCACATTTGGATGAGAGGCAGTAAAACTAGGTGTACTGAGTTGGCATGATTTGTGATAGAGTGGCTTGGTGGGCATCTGGTCCCCAGGCAAGGTCAGCCCACCCCACTAGGCTATATCCTGCAAGAAGATGTCCTGTTTAAGGAGTGATCCAGAGTCAGATTGATTTAGTTTCAGACTGGCTGGAAGTGTAAAAATGTTTGAATCTCTTGCTGATTTAGAAGTGGAGAACAATCAGACTAAGAGAGATTTTGGAAAGGAAACTTAGCACCGATGGAAGACAGTCAAATTAAGGGCAGAAGGAGATCCAGTAAAGAAGGTGGACTGTGAGTGCTGCGGTGCAATGGGTGTCTCCACTCAGCGATGCCTCCTCAGTCAATAAGGTCTCTCAGAGTTGGATCAGCACATGTATCTCCTGTCCTCCTGGGGAGCAAGCTTGTGGCTAGCCTTGGGGCAGCAGTGCTGTGCAGTGCTAGGTTCCTCTCTGGTTGGTCACCAGTTCCTTATTTCTGCTCCATGGGCTCAGGAGCAGCCTGCACACACAAGACTGGCTTGTTTGAAATGCTTACATGGTGTCTTGCCAAAGGAAGCATGCAGTCCCTGAAGGCACGGTTGCACAGCCTTTGGATCTGTCTCCTGGCAGCTGTGCAAATGGGAAGAGATGGAGGAAGGATGGGTGTGGGCTCTCTTACTGCAGATTTCTGCCACAGTGGTACCCTCCCTGTATGGAGGCATTTCTTGGCTGCATTTGTGCATGAGCTGATGTCCACCAGCAGAGCAGCTGCACTGGGATGTGGTCACCAGTTTGTGCGCAAAGACCCAAATCACAGAAAGGGAATCCAAGCTCCTTGCGAAATAGGCACGTTATGTGGCACAGTCCCACCAGAAGGTCACTTGGAGCCTGTTTCTTCACCGCTGACATTGATTCTGGGTTCCTGCAAGTTCTTGGGGCAGCCTGAAAGCATGACTCTGTGAGGATGTGGTGCTGCTGAGGAAGGTGGGCTTGCCAGCGAGGCAGGCTGAGCGGAGGGAGTGACCTTGCGTGTCACACCATCTAATATTCACTTTTGTACTTTGGAAGGGACCCTTTAGGTTTGAATGTTCTGCGCCGGTCAAACATTGCGCTCAAGACGCCAGATGAGGTCAGATGCTTTAATTCTTTACTGTACGGCTCCTATTTCCCTATCTGGGCATGGTGCTCTTGGGAGGCGTTGGGGTGTTGCTCAGCTCTGTTGTTACTTGACAGCCTTCCCAGAAGCTTAAGGGGAAGTGTCTTTCCCTAGATGCACACATGTACTTGGAACAGCCTGAGTTTGGTACTGCAGAGCAATTGTGCCTGCTGGTTAGGATAAAATACTGAGTTTAATTTGGTCTCAAAATACAGGGTGACATCTCCATTACACCTTAAGGCAACACAAGTTTGTGAACTACCTAATATAGCAGTCCAAGTGCAAATTCCTTTAGACTTCTAAAGGGTCTTGCCCCTTTAGCAAAGGCATTCAAAAGATGGGAGAGGAAATGCATGAAACCGAGTGCAAACAACCAAAGGTCTGTGCTGAACTGATGTAACTGAATGCCTCTGGCAGTGATCTGGGAAAAGGGCAGGGTGTAAGATAAATGAGATTGATCGAGACGAGCTAAACTCTGGAGGGACCTGACCCAGCTTGTGAGGCAAGATGGAATTCGGTGCTGACAAATGCCAGGGAGCACACGTTGCCCCAGATTACCTGAACTGTCACACTTGTGATTGCAAAGATACAGGATCAGACCTGAACTTGAGCATCCCCTGAGGGCTTCCCATGCCCTGGTGAGAGATGTACCTGTTGTGTTTCTCCTCTTAGAGCCAATGGGAGGTGCCAGGAGTTTGTCATTTGTCTCAGTTCAGTACAAAATTCATTTTCTCTGAAGTGCCTTTTGCTGAGACAGTGCTGGAACTGATTTTAAGCTGACATGGTCTCATTTCTGAGAAATACGTTTTGCTGTTTTCTTTCCATGGGTTGTCAGCCCCTGTACACTTGGGAGCACTCTTCTTTGTTGAGCTTCATGAGATACAGGATTTTTTGTGCCAGTTTCCCAGGCTGTGATGGGCTGCTCTGACCCAGCCTGACTCCTCTACAGTGGGGACAGCTGAGTGGACCCTGTACCTCCCTGCTCTCCTTCACTGTTTGGCCACTGGGCTTTTTCTTGCAGAAGTGGATCTAAGTTTGGAGGTGGAGCAAGTGTTCCCTTTCACCTCTCCAGGCACAGGATCCCACATAGCCACGAGCACTTCCTTACAAGGAAACATCAGTCTGGAGTGAGAAAAACTCATGCACAGGTGAAATTGGGCAAAAGAATCACACCCCAGGCCCTCCCCTGTTTGGCAGCTTTAGGAATCTGTAAATACGCCCCAAAAAGGAGTTGGGTGATGGTGCCCATCAGTCTTGAGTTTGGTATGTGGACAGAATAGGCAGAGGGTGATGTTTTGCTCCCACTGATTTATTCTGTTTTCCTTAGGGAGTGCCAATCAAATACTTGCTCTTGGAAGACACTGATGAAGTTATAACCCTGGTGAAAGATAAGAACAAGGTCAAACAAATCCAGGAGGATGAGGGGGAAGAGGAAGATGAGGATGAAAAAGAGAATAATAACCAAGGTGTGCACCTAAACAATGAAAAGCTGATTGTCATCAGATAGGACGTGCATCAGCATCTGCTAGAGATGTGCAGGCATATGTTAAAGCATTAGAGAACACTTTTGCAAATCCAAGGCAAACCATCATAGTCACATCATGGTTGTACAAGTGGCTCTTTCATTCTCTGCAGATCACTGAAGTTTTGTGGCAGACAGGCACAGGGAGGAAAATCAGCAGTTGTTAGAGGAACAGTTACAGAAGTGCTGCATGAGGGACAGGGGTGCTTCTGCTTGAATACATTCAGCTTGAGAGGCATGAGGGGTTTAAAGTGCACCCAGCACTGTTTTCTTTTCAAGCATCAGAAGAGCCTCAGAATTGCCAGTCCCTTTAGAAAGGTTTGAGACATGGGTTTTTGTAAGCTGTTCCAGGCTGGCCTTCCCCAGGGAGAAAACACTGGCCCCCGCAGCACATCCTTGACAATGCATTGTGTCCCATGGAAAAATAGTTTTGTTTTAGAAAAAAAAGTGGCACAGGATGCTAGAGGAGCCAACATGCTGGAAGAATAATGCTCAAATCACAGGGCACAACTGGTGTGAGATGGCATGAGTACCTTTTCATGAGTTTGTACTTGTGTTGTGCCTCCATTCCGCCGTATGAGACAGTTACTTACCCCCTGCTGACAGTCACCATGTCCCTGCTGAAAAGGGCTGGCTTAGGAAAACACAGGGCTTGGGTGGCACAGGGGGCTGTAGTTCCCTCTGCCTTGCACATGTACCTGTGTTCATGTAGAGCTGTGGGTCCCTTGCAGACATTCAGGATGATGAGGTGGTGGAAGCAGTTTCCAGGGACAAGAAGCGAGAGCTGGCCCTAGAGCAGATCCGTGTCCTGACAGAGGAAACCTTCCGCTCTGCTCTCCTGGAGACTGCCCGGACAGTGGTGCTGTTTTATGCCAGCTGTGAGTATGAGCTGTGGTCTGGTGTCCTTTCTCTGAGCTTGCACTGCTCACTGTGCTTTCCATCCTATGGTAATCCTGTAGGCAAGTTTAAATGATAAGTGCTGCATCCAGCCCCATAGGCCTCCCCACTGAGCAATCAGATTAAATCAGTTCTTCTCACTGATAATGTGTGAAGACTATCTCAGTATAGAAGTTACCAATGTTCATAGGTTTTTAACCTTCATTTTACAGGGACCAAATGTAGGACAAGAGGGGATATTGTGGTATCATGGGATAGCCTAAATAACCTGCTTGTGTTGTGCTGTGCAGAAGCATAAAATCCAATTTTCCTTATTTCTTTGAAGTCTTTCAGAGCTTGAAGCACCTTAGGATGCAGAGAATTGTAATGTGACATTGTCAGAGAGCAAGATGGGGCTGGTCTGTCACCTGTATGTCCTTCAGAGCTGTGTCTTTCCTGTGTTTTAGGGGAGTCAGTGTCCCTGGCAGTGCTGAGGTCTTACACAGAGGTGGCTGATCAACTGGAAGGTAAGGTGCCACAGGTCTAAGTGCTTTACAGCCTACTACCCTAGTAGGAACCAGAAGACTGGAAGGATATGGATGATATCTCTGTCCCTCACCCAGAATATACTAATTTTTTTCCTCTCAGACTCTTAAAGAAGGCATATCCACATCAGGTTGCTTTAGAAGAGTCCTTTGTTTCTTATTTAGAAATCTTTGTGGTTCATTGTGCCTCTAGAAAGTCATGGGACTGGGAATGCAGCCTTCTGCAGTCACCTTATATTGTTGGTGCTACACACTAGCTGCCCAACTGCCTTGCAGCTGAGATGGTGATCTTGGTGTGCACAGTGACAGCATGATGGATGATGGTAATGGTGGTGATGATAATGATGTTGGTGAGCACAGTGACAGTGTGATGAATGGTGGTGATGCTGATGTGTCACCTGTGTGATGAATGCCGGAGCATGGGGAGGAACGGGGCAGAGCACCTGTGGCCTGTACAAGGGAAGGGACTACATGGTGCACAGCAAATCAGTGTGCTGGGTGGCAGATCAGACCTTCTGTCCTTGGAAGTACTTGATCTGAAAAGGAGCAGTACCTGGCCCCAGCTTTGGTGGAAAGTGTGACAGATGGGTGTGCGCAGGTCCAGATCCACTGGGGGAGGATGGTGTCAAGAGGAAGAATTTACAGTGATGGTGCCTTCAGGGCATGGAGACTGCCTTATTTACATGGGAATTCTCTTAGGCAGCCACAGAACTCCATAAATAACACGTAACGGCAAGAAACAGCAATGCTTAAAGACAGCACACATCAAGTAGCCTGGTAGTAAAGCCTTGGGGGAGTGATCCTTCGGGAGCCTCTGAGCGGTTTCTGAGCTGTGTAAGCCTCAGTTCAGCTTCATTCAAGCCTTCAGCCCCATCCCTCTCTATGGTTAATGGGGAGAGGTGAGTTCTTCTGCTCATTCATCATCCTTACGTGGGCTAAAATCTCTTCCAGAGGTGCCTCTTTTTTCCCCTGGCTCCAGGGGACATTGAGGTGGCTTCATCCCAAACTCATTGCAGCACAGTGGGGAAGTCATGGATCTGGGTGAGAGCTGGTTTGTCACTCCTGTAGGTGGCTGGTGCCTTCTATTTGTTTATCTTCATTAAGGCTCATTTTTCCTAGTGATGGCACTCCCTGGGAACCTGGCGCCATTTCCTGCAGGGTTCAAGCAGGGCTGGGGCTGAGCTCTCAGCAGTGGGGACATGTATAGAGCCTGCAGAGGACCCAGACAGCTTTCTGGGAAGCAGATGCAATAGGAGTTGCTCGCAACAATCCGTCCTGGAAACACTGCAGACAGTGCTGTGGTTTGGATGAAAGTGGTTCTGCGTTCATAGTTTGCATGGAGGGAAGGTCACCAGCAGCTTTGATCTGGACTGAAATCCAAGGAATAAACAGGAAAGCTTGGGGAGGGTGGTTATTGTTAGAGATGTTACAGTTGTTGATGGTTTGGGGTTTCTTTTAGACTCCAGTAATCAGACCAGCTAGAGGAACAACCTGGGAGAGTCAGTGAATGAAACCCTGTTTCTCGCTGAGCTAGTGGTCAAACCTTGGCTGATTCTGCACAGCCAGTCTTTCACCATGTGTTTTTTTAATCATTTGATAACAATCTCAGTGCATGGAAGCAGCCACAGGCAGATTCTCAACAGAGATTATGAACTGATTGGGGTCAGGGCTTTCCCTCTGTCGTCAGTACCCACAAAAGAATCCCAGGCCAGATGTAACCTGTAGAATGACTCCAGTCTGCTTTCTGGGCTGTGGCCGTGGACAGGATGGAGAACGGCTGCATTAGTGGGTCTGGACATCCTTAGTCTCTGCTGCTGAGGGAGCCTGAGTCACAGGCTGGTTACCAGGGAAACTAGAAGAACTAAAAGGCTGGGGGTCCCTGGGCTCTCAGTTAGGGCAAGGATGAGGGAAGATATGGCACTGCAAGGTCCAGAAGGAAGATCTTGAGCTATGCAGGACTGAGAATAAAGCATGGGATCTGACTTTGGAATCTCAGCTCCCCTAGAAGTGCTTGTATTCCTCTGTGCTCTCTGGGGTGGAGCATTCTTCCTAAGGGCTGAGAAGCCAAGACCAGCTGTCTGAGGCATGAATCACCCATTCTAGAGGCACATTTTGAGCTGCAGAACCAGGTGCCACTTTTGATGCCAATTCCGTATGCAAAATGGCACTGAGGATAGGCCATATGAGATCAAGCGCAATTGAACAGAGGAGGTTGAAGACTGGAATGACCCCGTGACTCATCCAGGAGCAGATGTTCAACGGATCATCACAAAATTAAGTTTATAGCCCAAGTGTTTTCCTTTTGTTGAGAGATCCAATGCAGCAAGAGAAAAAGCATCTCTGTTTTGCTGCAAGAACATGCTGTCCTCACTGCTGCTGGGGGTAACTGCTGCAGCTATTATTTTCTCTTACAAGATGTGAATTTTTGGAAGCAGCAGCCCTGCGACAAGAAAGCAGGATGTGAAGGTGAGACAGTGCTGAACATTTCTTAGCATTTCTTTTGCAAAAAAGAGAGGAAACCAATATCTGAGAAAAGCAGTAATGATGAAAACCAGTTCTGCTTCCCTCTCCTGTGCTTGTGGAGTCTTTCTGACCAATGGCTTCCAAAGACAGGGGTCTGAAGTTGTAGTTCAAAGGCACGAAAATGTGTGATTTAGCAATGTGTATTCATGGAAGCTAAATCTGAAGTAAGGATTTAGGAGTCCATTTAGTGATGCTCTCTGAGCAGTTGTTTCCCATTCCATATTGGATTCCTGCTCTTGAAGTGCAGCATTTCATACTTATTTCTCTTTCATGCTGTAGCCTTTGGACCAGCTCTTCAAGAGAGCTGTTTTTAATGTCAGCCCTGCCCTCAAAAGATTAGAAGTTTAAGGGGTTCTTGTCTTTTCTTGTTCCCTATAGCACTGATGATTTGTCTTGTTCTGGTTTTATAAGGCCCCTAGGACAGAGGTTCTCACCGTTGGTGGTTTTAGTAGCACCTGGATGCGCAGAACAGTAGGATTTTGTGTTCCTCTTTCACCTTTCTTCCCATCCAGTAATGACCCCAGGGCTGAACAGTCTGTTGCTGAGTAACTCAACTGCTGAAACTGCTGCTCATTCAGTAATTAATAATACGGTGCAGATTGGGATGGAGAGCGATCATCTTGTACAAAGTGTTCCTCAGGCCAGATGGGGCTTCTTTGGAGCGCTTTTGGTACATAATCCCCTGAGGTTGTATACAAATACTAAAACTCATATTTGAGGAGCCTTAGAACAGCCTTGCAACTCAATTTTAACTAGACATCAAAGCCCTATTGCATGTCATTATTTTTCAGAGTTGGGCAACACACAGGGTTATGTGTTAAGAAATGAGGAGAACCAGCTATACTGGATCAGAGGTGTGAAATAAATCCAGGGGCTTTTAATTTGAGATGTTATTTCAGAGCCTGGAGAATGAAACAAACCATTTCTGCTCTCATGGAGTGTTTTGACAGCTCCTGACTGAGTGGAATTGCAGACCCTTAACTCTGTGCTGCTGCTTGCTTTGTCTGTACGAGTTTGACACAAGGCAGAACAGCAGCAAACTCCTCACGTGAGCTGCAAAGCAGAGCCTAAAATGAAGGTTGCAGAAAATGGTCCAGTGGGATGGCAAGGACATAGGGATAGGGGATAGGAACACATGCCAAGATCATCCCTGCCTTCATTCTTCTCTGTGAAGATGCCTTGCCCATCCCTGGCAGGCATGTTTCTAACCTGTGATTTAAACCCTTCCACAGCTTCTGTGCCAAAAAGCCTCAGCTGTGCTGAGTTCTCAGGAGCTTGTTTCAGTATCAGGGCAAAACTCCCTGCCTGGGAATGGGTTGTTGCTTGTTTTTGCCCAGCTGGCAACAGTGAGTCATCTTAGCGTCACTTCCAGAGCAGACTTTACATATTGATAGATTTTATTGTTTCTTTCTTTCCAATCAAAAGAAGCACAGTTTGTTGGGATTTTCCTCAGGAGGCAGGTCTTCCAAAATTCGTCAGGGTCTCTCACATCTGTTTAAGCCTTTCTAAAAACATGTTTCCCAGCCTGACTTCCTGGGCTCTACAGAGGTCTCACTGGCACAGAAGAGCATCGTTTTCCTCCCATGTCTTGTAGATGTTGTTGAGAGTTCATCCCAGAATGAGCTGTGCCCTATTCTGCAGCAATGATGATATCTGTGCATCCTGCTTCTCATTACAGGACACTGCTGTTGTTACATTTTGCCCTTGGAATGACTTTCTGCCCCTCTGGGCTTGGGATCATTTGTAGTGTGTGTGTTTTATTCCATCAGCCAGGCCTGTAATGAAAATAGTGATCAGAATCAAACCTAAGACAGAGGGAGAACAAAGCTTGGCTGTTTTGTTCTGCTGTATTCTTGAGAAGTCCTCATCACCTGCCCTTACCCTTGTTTCTGAAGGACACTTCACGATGGTCTACTTCCATGTGTGTACTTGTCTCTAGGTTTCGTCTCATCTTTCCCATGTAACTGTTGAATCTTGTTCAAACAAATTTAGGGAAGGCGTGAAGATTTCTCAGATACAGCATTCCTGCAGTGGGTATGGATGATATGGCCTGAGGACTGTACGCAGCCCTGCTGTCCTTGGTCAAGCCTGCAAATAGGTAGGAGGCAGGTTAGGCGAGGCTGGCCACCAAAGTAGCTGGTGAAGCCAGTGATGGTTCACCTGCCAGCTTAGCACAGGCTCAACCATGGAGCAGAAGCAGTACGTGCTGGTCTTTGCCCAGGCTGCAGATGAAAGAAAGGCTGATAAGGACATGCTGGAGTATCTTGGGCTCATGGAGAGCACGCAGAGAACCACCCTTCATTTGTTTCACTGCTCACAAATCCCTTGGGATAATCACTTTGATGAGACCCATAAAAAGCTTATTTTGTACTTTTCTCAGGAACTAAAGTTGGACTGGCTGCTCTGTAATTACCAAGTACTCTTGCTCTCCCTTACTTGTGAGGCCCCTTATGGTCTTAAAGGTACATGCTAGTGTTTTGGAGATGAGGAGCTGGTGTTTGTAGGATAGGGTGAATGCCATCAGACTGCCAGCCTGTACTACGTCTAGCTTGCTTACATCACCTTTAATGGTTCCTTGTGTATTTGGCTTCATGCTTTAAGTAGAACAGATGCTTTTCAATACTGGGCACCTTAATAAGTGAAAAGCCTTGAATGCATCAGCCTCCTCCATGCCAGCTTTATCTTCCCTTTTTCCTGTAAGTGAGTGCCTGCATGGTTTCTTTGTCTTGGCCTTATTCCTAAATATTTCCAGTACCTTTTCTTGCTGCCTTTTATGCTCCTGGACAACTGCCTTAGGTTTCACAGTATCTGTTTGAATAACCAGCCAGATGTGAACGTCTCTGGAAATTTGTTTCTGAGAAGTGCAACCTACCACTTCCCTGAGTTTATTCTCTCCCTGATCTGTTGTTTGAATCAATCAAAAGGGGGTATTTAATACATTCACAGGCTGGAAATAGCTACTTTTATGCTCAAAACTTTAAGGCGTGTCCATGAGTGGTTTCAAGAGGTAGAAAGCCTGTACTCAAAGGGATTGTGTATTCTGGGCTGGATTTTGGCATTCTGAGCACACAAAGCGGTGTTTGGCTCCAGGAATGGTGCAGCAGTTTCTCAGTGGTAGCCCACCCTGCACTCACTCTGTGTGCTAGGATCCAGCTCAGTAGGATGCATGCCAAAGCAAATAGGAGTTCTGGCAGTGTTAATACAAATATATGTGATAATATTCAAAGAAGCTAACAAAAAGCACTTCTTTCAACTATTTCTTTTTCTTTTCCTTTTTTTAATTATTATTTTTTAATATTATTTAAACTTATTTGTTTTCCACTCTAGGAACTCAGGGGGTTTTGCTTTCTCGGGTAAACTGCTGGGACTGGCCTGGCATTTGCACAGAAGAGAACATCACTCAATTTCCTACTGTTAAGATTTATGAGAAGGGAGAGAGATCAGTGATATACGATGGCATGTGGGGAACCAAAGAACTGACCAGTTTCATCATGCTGTAAGTGTCTGTTAATAAGTCTCAACACAGTAAGACTGGCACATCTGCTAGATGATGTTCTGCATACTTCACAGCCTGTGTAATGGAAATCTTTTTTGGAAAAATAATGTCAGATCTGATTGTAGACCTGCTTTGGAAATGAGCTTAATAACTTCTCGTGCTTTTCAGTGTCAGGGAATAGCTGTTCTTGGACAGAATGGGAATCCCAAAGATCCGAGGGCAACCAGTTTGACGCAGGGCTCTTTCTCTCTTCCCCATAACAAGCTCCAGTGCGTTTCTGAGACTAGGCATTGATTTCCTTCCCAGGCGACTGATTTCTGTCTCCGATGAGGCATAGCAGTCGTCAGTGTTGCGTTGGGGCATTGTCAGATTGAGGTTGCCCTTTTGTCTCTTCATCCCAAAAAGGAAGATGGCAGCCCGTGTTGTTTCTCTGCCTTTTTGCAGGAGCCGAGTTTCCTGCCCTCTGAAGCTTGCAACAATTGATGAAGCAGAAAGATATTTAAGAGGCGAGTTTCCATCTGAGCTGTCATCCTATCACCACACTTCGCTTCTAGGAGTATTCAGGACAGCCACGAGTGAAGGTTAGTGTGATATTTGTGGATTAAGCACTCAGCTTCATTCCTGATGGGAGAGGGGTGGTTCCAGGTGCTTGGAAGTTCCTCTGGGTTCTTTTTCTGACCTTTCTCTGAAAGAGTATTTACATATGTCCCATCTGAACTTACCAAGCCACAATTTGTATTTGTTGTTCCTGTTGTATCTCCTGTGCCTTAGTGTTAGAATTTTGGATCTGTCCTCCTTATGAGGCCCCTTCAAAGTAGTTGTAGGCTGCCATTAAACCCCCTTTCAGCCTCTGACTGAACATGCCCATATCCATCAGCCTCTTCTCGCAGTCCATGTGCAACATCTCACAGCATATTCCTTCTTAAAGAAAGCCCTTTTCAGTATAGGGTTGATAGTTACCTTGCTGACTCCTCCTGCAAATGTGGTAGTCCCAGTCCTTGCAACCAACACACAATCCAAAACCTTTTTCTTAAAAGAACCCCAACCAAACAAAGGAGCAGTAAGTTAAAATACAAATTTCTTGCATCAGAAAGTATGTAATGTGAGTATCTCGATGCAGTACACTTGTGGACTTTGAAAGAGGTGGGCACAGCCCCCAGAGTGGTGGACATCAGCTAGATATGGTAAGCAAAGTTGCTGGAAGGAGTGTTCTGAACGTGTTTGAATTTGTCTCACTTTGTAGTCTCAGTCAGTATAGTCCTGCCTAGTGGCTGAAACTTGAAGCAGTCATTCTCTTCCAGCCCTGCCTGCTGCACAGGGTGCTGCTAGTCACTCAGATGCTGCTCCAGTGTCATTTGTTGCATGCCATAGCTGTGGTCCAGCATCTAGTGGGTTTCCATAACCTTTCTGAAAGTCAAGGAAATAGACTCAAGGGCTACGGTGATTTTTCATGTGACAGTGTTGTATCTTAACAAGGGAGAGGAAATAAAGTCCATTTGGAAAGGGAACATCATGTCATGCTTCAGTGAAATCCACAGGGGAGAGCTAGGACCTTCCAACCCCATGGTCTCTCAGTTACCAGCTACCTCTGGGAATTGCTGCATTAAAAAATGGAGAATTTCCCAATCTTTTTCAAGATCAAAATTTCAGACTATTTTTCATTTGAATTTCTACTGTGTATGTAAACTTTGGTTAAATGCACAAAATAAAACGTCTAGAACCAATCAGAAAACACTGGAGCTGTGTCCATGGAGCCAGCTGACAGCTGATATGCCTGCCTGCTTCTGGAGGGTCTGAATCTGTTAAATATAGCAGAAAATCTTACTGATCTCAGAAAAATCTTTAGTCCATTTCTCCCTGGGTTTCATCAGCTGAGCTCCTAAATCTTCCCTCTATTCCACATATTCCACTCTGCAGGAGTGGAGCCTGGATTAGCTCCATGGTAGAACGGGGATGGTGAAATGGGTTCATGGAAGCAACCTGCCTGGATCTGGCTGGATGTGTGAGCTGAGGCTCTTTCTTCTATATAAGTTGTTCATTTCCTTCCATGCAAACCAGAGTCTTGGAGGTTTCCAGGCGCCTCTGTGTGGAGCCCACCGGATTGCCTCTTCCCTCAGGGTGCGCACTCAGTCTGCAATCTGGAATGGCATCCGCAGTCTGAGGTAACAGCCGCAGACGCCAAGGGAGATGAAATCTGTGATGCTTTCCCTGTCTGTAACCTGTGGGGTGTTCAAGCATCATGCAGAACGACCTGAGGGAGCAGAAACCTGGAGCCAGCTCTTATGGCACCAAACGCAGGCCAGAGTCTGGGAAACCACATTGCTGCTCTTATCAGCCTGCAGACTTATCTGGAATTTCCAATGATTTTCTCACAGCAAGAATTCCTGCTCTAACCTGAACCGGCAGCAGGCCATGTCATTGCCATTTCTAGTTAACTTAACAGAGCAATAAGATGTCCAGTTAAATAAAGCCCTGGGTTTTATCCAGCACTTAGTATCAAATAACTATGTTGGGAAGCCCTTCAGAAGGTCTGAGCTAAAAGAGGCTTGAGCTAAAAGAGGCTTGTTGGAAAAATCATAATGAAGATTTATTACAAAGAGGTGGATGGTATTATCAGGGCAACGAACACACGTTTTCCTGGGAACTTGAAGAATTTACAGGAGATCACGTTGTTTGCTGTGCAAAAACTGGAAGCGTACTTGGAAGTAAGACTGTCCTAAACCATGCAGCAAATGCTTTAAAATACACCTGTGGTCTGCAAAGCTCTGGTACCATTGTAGTTCTTGCCAGCATCGATGTAAAACAAGTGAAGAAGGCATGCAAAGATGCTACAGGTACTGCTGGAGAGCATGGGATCATGAGATGCATTCTGCTAGAGGGATAAGGGGTGATGCTCACATCCTGTCTCCAGGAACTGTGCAGAAGCTGTAGACCCTTCCACATCTGGCAGTTTTATTCATTCTTGTTCCCAAATCCTGCAGTGAAGCTGGGCTTGTGCAATTCAGTGACATGGAAGGCAGCTGGGATTCCAGCTCGAGGCGTGTGGTGCAGCATATGATCAAGCCCCGTGGGAAATTAAGAGTGGTCTCAGGGGACTGATTTTCTAAGAAATATTTAAATAACTTCTTTAGAAGTGCTTTGAGTCTCTAAGTGGAGCTGTGTGGACTTGGTGGGGGGGGTGCTTCCTGCACTGCTGTGAGCTGTTGAGAAACGAAGGCCGGTATGTGGCTGCGGGTCTGGCACAGTCCTCAAAGTACAGAAAAATGTGCAAGTGTGATGGGGGGAAGATCTCATCAGGAATGACCCAAATGAAAGGAATATGTCTGGACTCTGCTGAAGGTTGCCCTGATTTAGGGGAGAATTCCTGGTGGCAGTGCTTTTCCAGGGCATCGCTTCAACGCAAGGGTTTAAGTTAAATACCTGGAGAAGGGCTCTTCTCAGGAAGTTTGGATATGAGCCTGCTCCTTCTGGGTCCTTCAGTGCCTTGTGGCACAGGGTGGGCTGATGGTCTCCCATGGGCCTTTCACTAGTAGTTGGGGGTTTGTTGATGAAGTTCTTGGTGAACCTTGTCAGCCAGTCCTTTGGGTTGCTTTTCTTTCAGCATTGAAAAGTCAAATATCCAAAACCCAGAGAGCTGGAAAGCAGCATCAGACCTACCCAACAGTGGTTTCTCCATATCAAAACGAACCAGCCAAGCTGTGTCATATGTATGTTGTTTTCTACAATGTCTGAACCCTCTATGGGCCACTCCTTTAAGGATCTCAGCTTCCATCTGGAAAGGAAAATAGTGTAAATGAAAGTTTGTGGTCCCTGTGGTTCCAGGGATACACAATGGAAAATACGGCTTTGAGTGTAGCTGGAAGCAGGAGGCAAAGAACCAAAAAGTGACCAGTTGTGAGCCAGCCTCAGTCTACTGAGGTCTGAGTCACCGGTCCCAGGAGCTTGGGCTGGACAATTGTGATATGACTGTCAACATTATGGGAAACACAAAATAGTATCTGAATGACATCTTACTTAATTTATAAAGCAACATACATGGCTGTATCTGAGATCTGACCTTAATTCTTGGGTTACATCTGACTTCTTCAAAGAGTGTGACTATCCTTAAGCCCAAAGAGACATTCTTACTGTTTTCAGTTGCTCAGTATGAAGGGGAGGGGTGGTGATGCAGAAATCTACCCTGTTTTTACTGCACCTTTGGCATTACCAGTTTTGATCTCTGATCTATAACTGTATTTTACAAACTCACACACTATGGCTTGCATGTTCTCACAAAGCTTGTCTCTCCCTTAGTTCCAGCTACTGAAAACTGGGGTTGTTTTACAAGGGCATAAACTAGATCTGGAGTCATAGAATCATGGAATGGTTTGGGTTGCAAGGGACCTTAAGGATCATCCAGTTCCACCCCCTGCCACAGGCAGAAACACCTTCCACTAGACCGGGTTGCTCCAAGCCCCATCCAACCTGGCCTTGAACACTGCCAGGGATGGGACAGCCACAGCTTCTCTGGGCACCCTGTGCCAGTGCCTCACCATCCTTACAGCAGAGAATTTCCTAACATCTACTCTCAGTCTCCCCTCTGTCAGTTTAAAGCCATTCCCCCTTGTTCTGTCCTTACAGGCCCTTGTCAAAAGCCCCTCTCCAGGTTTCTTGTTGGCCCCTTTAGGCACTGGAAGCTGCTCTAAGGTCTCCCCAGAACCTTCTCTGCTCCAGGCTGAACAAGCCCAGCTCTCAGCCTGTCTCCAGAGCAGAGGCGCTCCAGCCCTCAGCATTTTTGTGGCCTCCTCTGGACTTGTTCCAACCAGTCCATGTCCTGCTTATGTTAGGGGCCCCAAAAGCTAAATGTAGTACTCCAAGTGGGGTGACACCAGAGCAGAGTAGAGGGTGAAAATCACCTCCCTCAATCTGCTGGCCATGCTCCATTTGATGCAGCCCAGCTATGGTTGGCTTTCTGGGCTTTGAGCACACACTGCTGGCTCATGTTAAGCTTCTCATCAACCAGCACTCCAAGTCCTCCTCAGGGCTGCTCTCAATCCAGTCTCTGCCCAGCCTGTATTTGTGCTGGGGAGTGTTCCAACCCAGGTGCAGGACCTTGTACTTGGCCTTGTTGAACTTCATGAGGTTGGCACTATCCCACCTCTCCAGCCTGTCCAGGTCCCTCTGGATGCCATCCCTTCCATCCAGCATGTCGACTGCACCACACAGCTTGGTGTCATAGGCAAACTTGCTGAGGGTGCACTCGATCTGACTGTCCGTGTTGCCAACATGATGTTGAACAGTGCTGGTCCCAACACTGACCCCTGAGGAGCAGCACTCGTCACCTATCTCTACTTGGACATCAAGCCATTGACCGCAACTCTGAGTGTGACCATCCAGCAAATTCCTTATTTGATTGGTCCATCTGTCAAATCCATGTCCCTCCAGTTTAGAGACTAGGATGTTGTGCAGGATGGCTTCAAATGCTTTGCAGAAGTGCAGGTCGGTAACATCTCTTACACTTCCTTTATCCAGCAGTGCTGTAACCCCATTGTTGAAGGCCACCAAATTTGCCAGGCACAATTTTCCCTTGGTGAAGGCGTGTTGGCTGTCATCAATCACCATATTTTCCATGTGCCTTAGCATAGTTTCCAGGAAGATCTGCCCCATGATGTTGTTGGGCACAGAGGTGCCTGTAGTTCACTAGGTCTTCTTTTTTTTTCCCTTTTTAAAAACGGGAGTTATGTTTCCCCTTTTCCAGTCAGTAGGAACTTCACTGGTCTGCCCCAGTCTCCCAAGTATGATGGATAGTGGCTTAGCCGCTTCATTGGCCATTTCCCTCAGGACCCCTGAACTCAGCCCCAAGAGTCCGTCAAGTAGAGGATGGAGAGGAAAGGACTGGGTTGGGGCTTTGCGTTCACACTCTCAGCACAGGTAGAGTCAGCTATGATAGATCAAGAGAGCCCCAACCCAGTTCTTTCCTCCCCATCCTCTACCTGACCTTGTTGTCTCCAAAATGTGAATGGTGGACCCTTATACCTGCTGCATCAGCAGCACAAAGCAGTGGGGCAGACTGTGTGTGCAAGGCATTTAGCTTTTTGATCCTTCTGTCCTATGTGGATGCCTGTAACAGCCACTGCCTGCTCTGAGGAACTGGATAAAACCACAAGATACTTGTGGGGAAGCTGGTTTATCTGCTGGGCTTTTAGGACTACTCCAGTTAAGTCATCATCAGTCATTTCCAAAAGTCACTGGGATTTATAATATTAGACATATAATTGATCTCCTGTTCCTAAGAACACTTAGGGACTTCAAGTCCTTTAAGGCATTTAATTTTCCATCAGTGCCCCTGTCGTGCAGATCCTGGAAGTTCAGTGCTGGTGGCTAAAGAGCAGATACTGTTCTCATAATAGGAACTTTCTTTATGATCCTTTTGACCTCTGCCAACTCCTCCTCCCATAGCCTGTGGCCGTGATATGCATCCATTTCTCATGAGCCTCTAATCGTAGTGGTGTTCCCAGCTGACAGTTTGCTGTGGGAGGGTGTTACGTATGCAGACAGCAGTTTGGTTTCCAGGAGGAAGCGGACACTTCTCTTTCTATTGTGTATTTTTATATCTTTGTCTGTTTTACAGCCAGGGAAGCTTTCGAAGAGGCAGGAAACATCTTAAGTGGCCATGTAACGATGGGGATGTATTTTGAAGATGATGCCTTGGCTTTGTAAGTTGTTTCTCTTTTTCTTTGGGGAGAATTCAAACCAAACCTGTCTGCATTTAGTGAAAGCCAATGCCTAAGCAAGTGTCACTGGTCATGCTGAGTTAACAGCAGTCCCAATTAACAGCCATGACTGTCCTATAAGTCCTATAAGAAGATGGGTGAAGAGTCAGCCAAAGGGAGATGTAACCCCAGCGCTGCCACTGATTTGCAGCCTGTCCATGGTCAGTTCATTTAGCCCTGTTGAAATGAATTGTTATCTCCCTTCCTCCTATTCAGTTCACCCTGGGTATTTTCAGTCCTCCAAACCTGCATCTCAGGTTCCTCATAGAAACAGGACTAAACTTTTATGGAGTTAAAAACAGGCTGAAAAAAATGATAGGACTAGCTAGGATTAGTGTGTGATGAATTAAAAACAGTTCTGCCTTTCTCTTTCCATCAGGAAGAAGTGATAAATTATTACTGGTTTTTCTCTTTCTTCAGTCCCGTCACCTTCTCTTCTCCTCTTCCTTGTCCTGATGCTGCAAAAGTACCTGCTGAGGTGGGCATGGGGAAGGGGAGTGTAAGGGGATTGCTGCCAAAGCCAGAGGTGTAAATGTGAGCCTTGCTCTGATGGCTGTCTCCAGCTGCTAAGAGCAGCCAAAAGAGAGGCTGCTGGTGACTACTTGCAGGCTTTCTTGGCTAGCAGTGGGGTGGCCATTGTGCCTGGGTGCTGGAAAATGGTTTGGAAGCCCTGCAATAAAAGCTGTCTACCCATGGAGTTGCCTTGGTGTGGAGCAGGCAGCCTTTCTGCAGCACTGTGAAAGGCGTTAAACCCCTTCAGTCTTATCCAGCTTCCCAGTGGGCACTCAAATCTGGCTGTGAGATGTTTGCAACTGCCAAGGATGGGGACAAACCTCTATCATTTCAATAGTTAATTTTACCATGGAACTTCTTCCTTGAAACATATGCCCATCAATTTCCCTTTCCTTGACAAGAGCAAGACGTTACCACCATTTCCAGACAGAGCTTTGCAGAGGTTCGTCCCCTTTCTGGAGGAAGAGTGCTGAATAAATATAGTAGCCTTTCTCCTGCACATATGGTAACGGCAAAGTCAAGACCTTCTTGGTCAGCTCCTGACTGAATAAGAGCATCAATTGTGGCCCTAACTTTAAGCAAAATTTGAGTTAACGGGATCTAAACATGTATCAGTCTGTGCACTTAACTGTGTCATTAAGACTCAGACTCACACCAGAAGGGGCAAAATGCGTTGGAGTAGACTGTGAGAGATGCTTCAGTGACTATTTATCAGTTAGATCCAGGGAGAATCTTCAGTTTGTTCTGGCATCTCATTTCCATCAGGAATTAGCTATCAAAGCAGAATTAAAAACCCCAGAAGGTTCTTGGCCCGTTTTCCAGGTGTAGGTTTAGCATCCAGGAATGCAAGAGTGAATTGTTTTCATTAGTTTCTTACAGATGTGATGCATCTCTTGCACATCTGATGAGATATGGGCATTTTGTGGTATGCCCAGGGAACAGAAATGCAAATATCTTGGTAGTACACTCTATCAACCAAACAGTGCTCAAAGCACCAGTGGCTGGGTCTTAGAAAGCTTGTTCAGTGTTGGGGTGGGAGGTCACTGGGCAATGTCAGGTCAAGGAGTCACAGCCAGCAGCATCAGGATGAAAAACCTGACCCCCTTCAAGCTAAAAGACTTTGTCCCTCAAGGATCTCAGCCCAGCAGATAGAAGTTAAGCAAAGGAGGGCAGGGTGTTCTCTCAGCAATGACAAATGCAAGAATATACCTCCATTCTTGTGCTCCAGCCACAGTCTGCAGCATGCTTCTTTTTAGTTGGAATATTTAATACAGTTTCTATTGATGCTCATTCTGCCAAGTTTGGATTTTGGCTGTGATTTGTAGGTGAAGCTACTGTTGCTGGGGTCATCTTCTCAACTGTAAGTAGAAAGTAAACACTTACAGGAATTACTTGTGCAAGAGCCAGGCTCACTTCCCTTCTTAAGCAAAGGAAAACTATTCTTCTGTGAAACGCTCAAGGAGGAAATATTTGTGGCTCCCTGGTCATGGAGAGCTGAGTCCTCTCTTCCCAGAGAAAAAGGTATACAAAATATACAAAGCATGTTGTTAGCAAAACTGTTTGCTCAGCAAACACATGCTTGGTTGGTAACTAGTGAAAAAAAGAAGTGTTAAGGAAGAAATGGTTTGAATGAAGTCATTATTTATTTCTTACATACTCAGATGCCATAGATTCTTGCCAAGTATTTGTTTGCAGATGTTTTTGATTTAAATGTGAGTCTCATATTACCCATCAAATGCCTCTGCTATATAAATAGAAAGCTGTCACAAGCAACAATACAAGCAACTGGTAGCAGTAAGGCGAGAAGTGATTTCAGGGTAGACTCTAGCTATGAGGTAGAGAATTTGTTGTTTTCCTAGTGGTATATAAAAAACTTCCTTGTCCAAGGCTGCTGAACAAGACATAGGGAGCAAGAGTCCTTACCTCCTCTGAGACATGGTTAAAACGTGGAAGTTTGAGAAATTCAAAATCCCTGTTGTTTTTTTGTGGTTTGTTGTGTTTTTTTTCCAAGGGTTTTACAATTCTTAATTAATGGAAAAATACAGTTTCATTTGAAAAACAACAGAGAGGGAAGTGAAGGATCTTCCTAATAGCTCAGAGGATTCCCACACATAACCAGAGGTGTGAGACTCAACTTCTTTGAGCAGCAGAACCTGGGGGTCCAAACAGAAAGGGGAAAGCTTAGCTCAGGGCTGGATTTACAAAGATAAACTCAAAAAGCTGAAATGGCTCAGATAAATCCAAGAACAGTTTAGCAATGGATTCACAACATCTGAAGGCCTCAGGAAAGTTCGTGGTCATTCATTACTGCTATTTTCCAAGGCATTAGTGCAGATCTGGGGTGCACCAGAAATTTCTAGTAAGTGTTCCTTGATGGAGGAACTGAAAAGCCTGTGTATGAGCTGAACATCATGAAAATGGACCATCTGCAGTTCCCTCCACTTGCTTTGGCATTGATGACCTAAACCACTCGACACTGAGGTTTTTAAAGCATATTTGAAGGATCTCCATCCCATTCAGAACTGCTAAAATAAGTGTCAGAAGTGAATTTGCCTGGGCAAACCATGGTGGGAAGAGCAATTGGTTGTAATGCGACTTTTCTAAGAGCTGCCTTTGCAGCAGGCTGAGTCTGCATTGCATTTTCCGTGTATGGAGAAAAAAGAAGAGAGATGAACTGGATTACTTTTGAACAGGAAATCAAAAGCTTTCCACCTCCCCACCTCCCCAGCCTAAAATGTCCTTTCCTCTCGCTCACTTCCCCAGCAATTCTGGTATCACAGCTCTTGAAAAATTACCAGCGGCCTTTGACAAACAAACTACAGATGCCCCTCAAAAAAACGTCGAGGCAGCTGATTTCCTCCATTGTGCCCTTCCTCTGGGCACTGACATCTGGAACCTTCAGGACTGAAGTTCCTCAGACTTCCAGAAAATCGCTCTCCCATCTTGATATACCCCCTTGCCCTTTCATTGCTCAGACTTCTCCTTTTTCTGCTCTTTCCACCTTCTCAGCTTTTCTTTAAATACCATTGAACCCTTGTACCAGAAGAACATTGGGGAACAAAGGATGAGCTGAGTTCTCCAGGAGTATATGCATGTTGCTCTAATGCAGGGCTGGACTTCAGCAAAATTACCCGTGTTCACCAAGCCAAGAATCAGATATTCTGGAGCTTATTTTATGTAGGTTGGTGTCCCTTGGATGGAGTCAAAGACCTGCTGTTTGCTTTGGCTTGGGAGGTAAAGCACTGGATGGGTAGTTGGACCCATTCACACCCATTCAGGTGTGAAAACAAAAGAGAAGCACCAACAAATAGTTTTGTTGGCAGTGTTTTGGATTTTCCCGATTATTTAGCTGCTGATGTCTTTTTGCAGAAGAAAATCCTGGTTGTGTGTGTGTGTGTTTAGTGTCTTAGGGTAAGTGCTTGTTTCAGAAGGGGACAAGGGAACACATTGGCCTTATCTCTCCCCATTCCTCTTTTTCAGATCCCGTAAATATGGAGTGTCTCCCCCAGCCCTCCTCCTTGCCAGGGGCGGAGCTAAGAGCGTGGAAAGCATCCCTTTGTCCAAACAGAGTGCACAGGACATGGTGCAGGTGATCAGATATGAATTGCTGGACATTTTTGTAAGTAAAATAAAAAGAAAGTGTCCTTTTTCTGTTGCGGTCATTTGCAGTAGAACTGATTATAGCATGGAGCTGGGCAAAATAAATATGGTTGCTTATTTTTATCATGCTTAATTACATTTGGTTTTAAGTTTTATGGCTAGGATCAGACAGTCTGGACAGAAATCTGCTGTTTGCTGTGTGGTCTCATGTGAGGAGACCCTGGGAGTCAATTGACTGGCTTGCTCTTGTAGTCACATACCCCCTGCTGTGATGGGTTGGCCTCTTGCAGGGTCTGCTCCCTGCCTCTTGCACATGCCTTTCAGAGGCTGGTTATAGCCATAAGACATGAAGCTGGGCTGAGCTGGCCTTGCTGCTGCCTTCTCTGCTCACACCCCTTCATCTTGGAGTGCACAGCTTGCTCATACAGACTTCACTTGCAACGGGCATGGTTGGGGGTAGTCATCTCCAGCATGCACCAATATCCCAGCACTCACATTTGCTTTTAAGCTACTTACGTTCAACATGGGCACTACACCCTTGCTTACCTCTGCACCCCTCGCATAAGGACAGAAAGTCTAACTGTGACCCGTACTATTGTCCCCATAAACCCCAACTTCTTGTTTTGATGTTTTGCAGCCAGAAATCACCGTGCAAAATCTGCCCCACTACTTGCAACTCAGAAAGCCCTTCCTCATTTTGTTCAGTGATGGTGACATCGGTGAAATGGAAAGCGAGGAAATGCTGAAGCTGGCAAAAGAAAGATCTCAGCAAGCATTTGTGGCTTGCTGGTTGAACTTGTGAGTGTGTAGAACTCTCTTTTCCTGTTTCCATTAGCTCACTTTCAGCCTTTCAGGGCAAGAAAAAAATGAGTCTGCAATTACTGAAAGCACTAGCTGGTAATGTGATTATTTGGTCTAAAATCATCATGAGTTGGGAGGTCAAATCATTTAGCAGTGATTCAGTATGTTCTGGGCAGCTGCAAAATTGCATGTCAAAGTAAAATTAATAAATGTTTAATTGATTGCAGAAGTAATTTTCAATAGAGTAAAATGATCTCAAAGATATCACATAGTAGCTTGACCCTGGCTCTGGTCTTGTTTATACTCTTGTTGCATGTGGGAGAAAAAGTAAATTTGCCTTTCTGGAGTGTCTTATGGTGATTTTCCACTGGCAAATAGAAGGAAGCACAATAGGGCAAGTAGTGATTGTTTACTGGGGGAAAGGAAGTTTTCAGAAGGGACAACCAGAAGAAGCTCCGTAAAGCAAACTTTATTCAAGAAACAAAATGAATCCAGGAGCTAAGAAATAGAAAGTTGTAGGAGAGGGGATTTTTTTAATCCTCCCTCCCTAGTTGTGTTCTCAGTTTTTAGCCTCTGTTTGTTTTGCCCGAGTCCAGAGACACCTCGCTGTCTCAATCATACCGTGCTTTAAAGTCTGGGAAGCGCCTTGCAGCGTGGGCTGAAGTTTAGCTAACGGGGAATCCACATGTTTTCAAAGAGAAGACAATTTGTTTGCCAGTAATGCACAAGAAATGAGAGCCTCTGGAACTTCCCCACCTACACATCTGCCTTTTATCTCCCTTCCTGAGAAAGAAAGACATGTTCTCTGTCAGAGCACAGGGGCATTGCCACAAAAAAGGGCAGAATATGGCCAGTGGCTTGGGAAGAATAGGATGGTCCTAGACAGAGGACCACATTCCCATGGTGAGAGCCACCTCAAACCTCAGGCATCACTGTCAGCCTGAAAATAGCTCCAGAAGGACTCAGTGCCTTTGTGGGCTTGCTGTCCCTCCATCTCAATATCCTCTTTGGCTCTCTGTGTCACCTGGGGAAGCTGCTGTCCCAGCTCCTTCTGTTTGGGGAAGCACTCATCAGCTGCCCAAGGGCTGACCACCTGAGCACAGCCCTCTGCATCAGCTCCTGCTTTTCCACCTGCTGCAGTCTCCCTGCAGTGGCACAGCTGGGCTGGAGGAAGCTGGTAGCTCTGCCTGCAAACAGGGGCTAACCATGGTGGGCTGCAGGACCTGTCCCGCTCCTGCCTCACCTGTTCTTTAAAACTGAAGGTGGAGAATATTTCACACCCTCTTACAGAGTTTCCCCCAGCTCTTCCTGCTTGAGGTTTTCCTTAAACTCCCAATCTGCTCTCTGCTCCCTCTCCATTGGACCCTAATAGCTTGCTTAAGGCATTGTGATTATAAATAGTGCGGTGAGCTTCTAGAGCTATCCCACAGGCAAAATTGTGTGCTTTGCTGGATATGGCCCCAGGGCTTTGGTGCTTGCTTGGCTCTCAGTCCTGTTGTGCTGCCAAACCACTGGTGAGCAAGTTGAATCTCCTCTTCCCAACAGGAAAAAGACTCCGGTGGGACGCGGCATCCTAAAGGCATACTTTGCTACCATGCCTTCACTGCCTGTTCTCATCTGGGTGAACCTTCATGTTGGGGGTCAGGTATTCAAGTTCCCATCAGAGCAGTCCATTTCTGAAATGAACATCTTGTCTTGGCTGGAGAAGCTAAAAGCAGGACTGGAGATTCCCAGCAGTAAGTAGGCACGCATTTGTAATGTTCCTAAGCACGCACGGTTAGCTCCGGTCTGTTTATGAGAAGACGCTGCATGCAATAAATTGTCTTCCCTGGAATCTAATGATGGAAAAACTAGCTGTGCTAGTTTGAGCTAGAGAAGTACAAATAGTCCGGCCAGAAGAGAATACCCACACTCACAAGTTTGCTTGGGGACTGTTTAATGTTCAGAGCCAAGCATGAATAGTTCTGAATTGACATCTCTTCCCCGTGATAATCCCCAAACCTGGCTGTGCTCTCCAGTTGCTGTGAACAGACCCGAAATACAGCTTGCTAATAAAAAGTCTCTCAGCTCCCAGTTGTCAGCATAAGAGATAACTGCTCTTTAGGCCCCTTTCAACATTTTTTTTGAATGGGAAAGGATAAGGAAGCTGGTGCTTTGCTATGTTCACTGGGACATGAAGGGTTGGCTTGTACCATGTAGCATTTTACTGCAACCCTCCTGCTTTGATCAGCCTGCTGAAGCTTTGGAGGAAGGCAGCACAGATATGCCTTCCTTGTGTAGTGTGTAGCCATGGGATGCTACAGGGATCTTAGGGATTGCCAGCTGCCAGTCTGCTCCAGGCTCTGGAAAGGCAATGGGGTGACTCCATTTTGATTTTTGTGGATTTTAAAACGAGCCTTTCAAAGCAAGTGTTTCCAAAAGCTGGCCTCAGCCTGGTGGGGGTAGAATGTATATAGACTCTTACTGGAGATGAAAGTACCATTTCTGACCCAGTAGTTGCTGGGAGAACCCCATGAGCCAGCCGTCCTCCCCATTGCCACTGCTGAAAGCGCCTGGCTGTCATGTAGGTCTCTAGGTAGGGACCTTAATTTTTGCGGGTGTCAGTGGGGTGAGCTAATGGCTGAGCAGTTTACTGCATGGCCAAGGGCACTTCCAGCCATCACAGCCTCCTTCATCAGGCTTTTAAGTGCTATGAACTGTGTGATCAATCTTAAAAGCACAAATTAAAGAGTATCCTCACATAATGGGACCACTTCCTCCTTGTGTAAACAGCAGTCCCCTCACTCCTGATGATGTCCCAGTAATGCACAGTCACTGATACAGTCTGTCTGGGGCCTGAATGAAACATCCACCACTGGTGGACAGCCACAGCCTTTGGGAACAGAGCCTTGACCAGCTCCAGTACATATTAATGCACCTCAGGCTGGTTTAATTTGGTTGGTGGTATGAGTTTTGGAGGAAAGAGGGTGATCTTTAAGAAACAATCTTTAATTTTGCATTCACTTGAAGAGCAAAAAAAATAGCTGTAATTCCTTTGAAAGGGAAGTGTTTGTGAAGTAGAGCTGCTTAGCTCTTAACTTACTAACATGGGACTGTATTTGCTTTCAGGTACCTTGTCTGAGGAAGACTGGAAACCACCTCTTCCTGCTTACGATTTCCTTCAGATGATGGAGACCGCCACTGAGCTCCCACTCCACACGTCCCACCACCACAGGGACACACTGAAACAGAACCCGCCTGAAAGCCCAGGAGGGGACACAGTCACGGGGGACGAGCCATCCCAGGAGACCAAGGCGGAGAAAGTGGGGTCCCCTGGGAGGGACCTGCGTGGGACAGCCCCGAGGCTGGCAGCAAGGGAGAAGCAGGGCAAGAGACACAGCGAGCTCTGAGAGCTGGGCATAACCCTGCCCAGGGCAGTGAAAGATGTGGGATGGTGCCCAGAAAACCCTCTCACTTTCCCAGCCCTGTATGAGCCTTTACATCAAGGAGAGAAGTGCTTTCAGCTGTAATTAATGGTGAAGGGATAAAACAGCCCCTAAGTCTCGGTGTGAGCTCCCAGCTGCAGTGTGCTGGTCACTGTGCCGTGGCTGTGATTTCTGATGTCAGGAATGTGACCATGCACCCCACACGCTGGCCCTCCTCGGCCTGCTGTTGGGATTGCATTTCACAGCAAGCAGTGAGAGCAGATCTGCAAGGAAGGTTGCTGTGTGGAAGCTTGGCCCTCCCCATAGCTGGGGTGAGCTAACCACATGCTAGAGGCTCTTCTGCATAGCAAACTACACTGGAAAAGTCGAATCAGCGGAGCCCTGCTCTGCAGTTTCTGTCTCACACATAGGTGCTTTGGTTGCCCCCACGCAGGAAGGGTGAGTGATTCCAGGATAAAAAACACGTTTCTGTCCTTCCAGTTGCAGCAGTAGCTCTACTCCTGTGTTGGCAAGTCCTGCTCTCAAATAGCAATGTGGAGCTGGGAGGGAAAGCGTGCCCACCACTCTCCAGGGCTGCTTAAACTGGCACCCACAGGTGTTTACACCTGACTTGTGAGGTGCATTTATGAGCATGTTTGTCCTCCGCGGTTAGAGAAGTACCTGGTTAAAAGAGTGTTATTACGAAGGCCAGGGCTCAGACCGTCACAACAGCCATGAATAGCTGGGACAAAAATCTGCCAGCAAATCCCAAGGGCAGGAAGGTTGGAAGATGGCTTTGCTCAATGCTGGCATTTTCTTGGTTACAAGCCCAGGGGGTTATTTGCAGCCTTGATTTTTCTTTGCTCCTGGTAACAGCAGCGAGGTTGGTTCCTTCTGAGCTGGGGACATGCAGGGAGAGAGGTCTGCAGAAAGCCCAACACTTTGGAAACAAGGAGGGAGATGAAGGGCCAGGCTGGCAGTGCTGGGGGCAGACCCTTCCGAGGTGGGATGGAGCTGCTTCATGTCCATATCTAGGTACAGAGTGGCTTTCCAGACTCTGCCCGTCTCCTGGGGACAGCAAAAGGTCTGTCATTTCTTGCTGGAGTACCTGAGCATGCAGGCCAGCATGGGATGTGGGCTGGGGAGACATGTTCTGGGGGAAGCTTTGTCTGATTCCACCCATGGCATGACAATCTTCCCACCCCCTTCAATAAACATCTGCTCCCTTCCACAGCACTACTGAGATGTGCCAGGAGGGTCTGATACTCCTTCTCCTCCTTATGGTTCTGAAGTTACTGGGGAGGGGGAAAATTCATGGTAAGGAACTCCTGAGACTGTATTTCTCATCCTGCAAGCAGCATTCATTGCACAAGCATACAGTAGACAGGCTTGTCTTCCTGGGGACTCCAGCAATCAAAGGCACTGCCCACCCCAATGGCTGGTCCCAGCTCCAGGAAGAAACCCTTTGACAAGAAATTGGACCATTGTCAACCAATGAAGAGGCTTTCGACCACTGCATTCACCTACTCGCTCTGGTTCCACTCATTGTGCATTGCAATGTATGTGTCCAAATCTGCCGCACCAGCAGCATCTTCTTCTTCACTGTCTTCCTCCTCTTCACTGCTGACACTGCTGCCCACCTCAGGGCTTCTTTTGCTAGAGCAGCAGCAGAGCCCCACAGGAGGAGCAGGAAGCCAGCAGTCTCCCAGCATTTCCAGTTCCACAAGGCAGCAGAGAGCAGGCCACTCCAGGTCACACAAGTTTGCTCTATTCTCTTCATCTCCTCGACCTGCTGCTGCAGCTCCTGCACCATCCCAGCCATCTCTTTGTTATGCATCTCCAAACACAGCTGCATGTGGTCATGTGTGGCTTCATCCAGCTCATATGCACCATGAGCACGTTCGGGAATATGCTAAGCATAACCCAGAGTAAGAGCTTTGCGAGAGCTATGGCCTGCAGGAGAAAGAGGGAGTTCAGTGGGGCTGGGATGCTCTGTGGTGTACCGAGATGAGTTAAAAAAAGTGTCTCAAAATAATAAACCACAGAAATTAATAAGAAAACGGTGTTCTCTGTTGATTTTTGATTGCTGCCAGGTCTCATCAGTCTCCGATGCCTTCTTCTTAGTCTGCAGATGTCTCTGTGTTGATAATGTAGAAGCCCTTGATTTGGCAGGTTATGCAGAGAGAACAGGGTGTTTGACATCTACCTGCAGGTTAAACCTCACTTTGTCTGGGGAGAAATAAAAAAAAAGAGCTTAATTTTACAGATTGCTGTTATAATTGGAAGCACAGAAGGATTCACTGGTGTACTTCATGTAGCAAAGAGCACTCCTAGCAAAATCAAGATTTTGATTCTCTCCTCTCCCATTCCTCTATCCTCCCCTAACAACCCCCTCCCCAACTCTCTCCACCCCAGCCATTTCCTCATTTTTAGTCTCTTCTCACCTGTCCCTGCCCACCACAAATGCTTTGCACCTGCTGCAGCACCAATCTGAATGAGTCATTGCCTGGGACAAGGTATAAAAGCCTGCCTGTGGAGGGTTTCTAGTCCTGTAGGGTTAGCTGTGGTGTTCCTAGTGTGGAAAAACCAGGTGTGTGTGTGCGTGCTGGGGGGGAACAAGTGTAACAATCTTTGAGGTTTTCTCACTGGAGGAGGATCTGTAACAGATGGAAAACTGGTACCAGAGTACTGTAGGCCTCATTTCTGCATCTTCCTGCCATTACTCTGTACTGATTCATGGATGGTAGCAATTTCCCTGTGGGGGTGCTTGCAGCAATGGAAGCAGAGCAGCTGGTAAAGCAGAGGTGAACCCATCTGGGCTGCTGTACTGTGGCAAGATATTGCTGCCCGGGTGCAGACCCTGGTGGTGAAGGTATGCCATGTAGATGCTCATGTACCCAAGAGTCTGGCCACTGAGGGACACCAGAAGAACCAACAAGTGGATAGAGGTGCTAGGATTGAAGTGGCTCAGGTGGACTTAGATTGGCAACATATGGGTGAATTATTTTTAGCCTGGTGGGCCCATGACGCTTTAGGCCATCAGGGCAGAGATGCAATGTACAGATGGGCTCGTGATGGAGGGGTGGATTTAACAGTAGACACTATTGCCCAGGTTATTCATGACTGTGCAATGTGCTGCAATTAAACAAGCCAAACGGTTAAAGCCTCTTTGGTATGGAGGACGATGGCTGAAGTATAAATACGGGGAGGCCTGGCAGACTGACTATATCACACTGCCACCAACCCACCAAGGCAAGTGCCATTGCTTACCATGGTGGAAGCAACCACCGGATGGCTGCGAACATAGGCTGTGCCCCACGCCACTGCCCTGAACACTGTCATGGGCCTTGAGAAACACATTTTGTGGTGACACGGCACCCCAGAGAGAGCTGATTGTGGGACTCATTTCTGGAATAACCTTATAAACACTTGGGCCAAAGAGCATGGCACTGAGTGGGTATGTCACATCCCCTCCCATGCACCAGCCTCTGGGAAAACCGAACGGTACAATGGGCTGTTAAAAACTACACTGAGAGCAATGGGTGGTGGGATTTTCAAACACTGGGATAAACATTTACCAAAGGCCACCTGGTTAGTCAACACCAGAGGATCTGCCAACAGGGCTGGCCCAGCCCAGTCTGAACTTCTACATACTGTCGAAGGGGATGAAGTTCCTGTGGTGCATATGAAGAATTTGCTGGGTAAGACAGTCTGAGCTATTCCTGCTTCAGGTAAAGGCAAACCCACTCGTGGGATTGCTTTTGCTCAGGGATCTGGATATACTTGGTGGGTAATGCGGGAAGATGGGGAAGTCTGATGCATACCTCAAGGGGTTTGATTTTAGGGGAAAACAGCCAATGAACATAATTGTATGCTCTTGCCTGCTATGTAGCACTTTTATAGCCCACCAACCAGATGTCTTCAGGTCACCAGTGACAGGCCCTCACTTCCCTCCAACCATCATCCCAACAGAGAATGAACTTTGACAAAACCAGGCCAGCCCAGCAGTGACCGGACGAGTTCCATGGTGTCTTCGGCAGGCAACAATCCAACGCTGCACACTGCCTCTCCTGCTCTGAAAGGCTGTTGCAGGAGATGGAGCCCAACATCATGGACCGGATGAACTCAGCAGCTTTATAGGGATTGGTCCATGTACTAAGGAATGAGATATCTGTGTGTGTGTGTGTGTGTGTCTGTGTGTCTGTGTGTATATACATGCAGGTGTCCTAAGGCGAGCTTAGGGAGGATGGAACCCTCCCACGGAGCAGAAGGGCAAAAGCTCGCTTGATCTTGATTTTCAGTACGAATACAGACCGTGAAAGCAGGGCCTCACGATCCTTCTGGCTTTTTGGGTTTTAAGCAGGAGGTGTCAGAAAAGTTACCACGGGGATAACTGGCTTGTGGCGGCCAAGCGTTCATAGCGAAGTCACTTTCTGATCCTTCGATGTCAGCTTTTCCTATCCTTGTGAAGCAGAATTCCCCAAGCATTGGGTTGTTCACCCACTAATATGGAACGTGAGCTGGGATTAGACCATCGTGAGACAGGTTAGTTTTACCCTACTGATGATGTGTTGTTGCTATAGCAATCCTGATCAGTATGAGAGGAACCGCAGGTTCAGACCCCTGGTGTGTGCGCTTGGCTGAGGAGCCACTGGCATGAGGCTACCATCTGTGGGCTTATGACTGAACACCTCTAAGTCAGAATCCCGCCTAGACACTTGATGTTGTGCTGCTGCGTCATCGGTTGCTTGTGCTTGACCCAGGAGATGACAGTCTTGTTCAGAATGTGTGGGTTAAAGCCCTTCCTGAACCTTTGTTAACAAAGACAGTCCTTCCTCATAGGAGAAGGAAAACTCCTATCTTCAGACCAGGGCTGATGGAGCTCGTCTAGCCTTGTATGGTCTTCCATTGAAGGGAAGGACACTCTTACAAAACCTATGACCTGTGGACTTTGCTGTCACCGTCCTAGCTAGCTGGGTCATGGCAGTTAAAGCTCAGGTGTAAAGGGTGGGGGCAGTTCTGTGCACACTGCCCTCAACTAAAAAACCCACTGCGCAGGCTGGAAGGGCTCACTCTCACTTGTCTGTATAGATGGGCGAGGGTTGAAATAGTAGGTGAGAAGGTACATGGGAAGCTGCAGGTCCAACCTTACATGCGGGGGAACCAGCGCATGGGTTGCTCAAGATTGCTCAGGACATGACAGTCCTGGTCGAACACTTCCTGATTGCCTAAGCACCCTTTTTTCCAACCAGATTTGCATATTCCCTTGGTCATCGTGCTTGTAGTAAGCGTGGTTCAAGCCCTTCCCAAATCTTCACTCACAAAGC